AGTGCTGAGATTGTGACACCTGTGCTGCAAGAACGGTGGCCATTGTAGGCCCAGATGATGCTCCCACTGACGAGTGATTGGCTGTCTTGTGGCGAGTTGGTGAGTGAGTGAGTGTGAAGTTAGGTAGGTGTATGAGTACATTGTATGCCGTGTAAGTGAGTGGACTGGTCCATTGTTGAGTGGTGAAGGTTTTTCCCAGGTGTGCGAGTGAGTGAGTGAAAGCGTGAGTGAGTTGGTAGTTTTGTGTGTAAATGAAACATTGTTGTGGTGAATAGTATTGCAGCAACGCCGCGGCACTCGGCAAAGTCCATTTCAAATGCTTTTTGGAGTTTATGGAGAAACATAGGTCAGTAAATCATGCTGACCGTTGGTTTCGCCTTCTGAAGATCAGTCGGTTAAAGTTTATAGCGTCACCGTGCCTTGACGGTGTAGACCGATGCTCATGTTTTACCCTGGCTCGACTTATATATATGTAGGGAGTAAACAATTAATCATAATATACACACCATAAAAAACAAACGCAAATGCATGTTTTGTGCCATTCGATGGATTCAGTGGATCAACGCACAGCAGATAAATCACATATGACATACACTACCACAGTTGACGCTGATGTAGATACGTCAAACGACCAAGGTCAAGGCCATCCGCTGTCAGCATCATCTTCTGCCCATGGACGTAATGATTCGGGCCTTGGGGAATGGGCCCTATAGTGCCTGTTCCAGCTGTGGCAAACGTGCGGCTGTGGTTGACGCTGAAAATAAATCTGTTGTTGTTGTAGTTGTTGTCTGTATGTTGTTGTTGTTGTTGTTGTTGTTGTTTAGGTAAGTCGAACTGTGTATATTCTGGCATTCATGCTCGAACAGGGCGCTGACGTTCTGTATATTGAGTGTGACGGGTGGATGTAGAATTTCATCTCGGTACTGTTGTGCAGTTTAGTTTCCCTGGGCACCACACCACCACATTCCCTCATACCATCACACTACCTCCTGCTGCAGTTTGGCGCAAGGCATTTACGTCGACGCCTGTAATTCCGCCATCTTCCACCTGCACGGCACAGTACAACACTTGACACGTCGCTAAACCATAGCTGTCCATCGCAGGTGAAGCCAGACTCTGTAGACATGACACTACTGACGTGGTATGATGCAGCTCGAGCAGGCCGTCTGCTGGAATACCTACCTGACGTAGGAGTGAGTGAGTGAGTGAGTGAGTTGGGTCTATCAGTATTCCAGTTATATCGCGGCGTGTCAGCTTAATGTGGGAGGAAAGCCCGAAGTGATGCAGATCTTAGACGTTTACCACTTTGGTGAAACCCACGAGCACGGGTATGGTGCTGACAAACCTAGAAACATAATCTGGGCGAACCGGGATTCGAACCCACGACCATAGGTTTCTGGCGTGCCCAAGGGACGCAACTCTGAATCGCGGCGCCTTAGACGACTGGGCCACCCGTGCCCCCCCTGACGTAGGAGGTTTCCAGGTCGCTCTTGTATGGCGGATGCTGTAGGTTGCGGTGGTGCTCCTTTGCGTAGAGGGGCGACATGATATTGCTGGAATATTGCTAAAAGTGGCGTAAATTCATACTCAATCACTCCTTTGCGTAGATGACGAAACCGGATGTAGCAGTCCGCGGCTATGGTGGTCCGAGAGGTTTATTGAATTAAGGTCCCAGAAATGTTCCTGTGGTCCTAGATTTCAAGAGACAGAGAAAATTAAAATAATTTTACTGCCATGTTCAGCCATCTTCTTCGTGAATTCTTCCTGCATATTGTTACTGTCACAATAATGTTTTGTAAATAAACGCGACAAAACCCTTCACAAATATACAATATGTCAATGCAAAAGAATAACCAGTCTAGATCATACACCGAAACTTATTCCAGTTGGCGTAAAGGACAAACTAGCAGTGACATTTATATGAATGGACCACTTTCCTAGTCGTGTTGCCTTATAACACGATTGTTGGTGCTGATGCCTAATAACTCGCTGATGCTGGTGCTGATAAACAACCGACAAGACTCCATTCGGGGCTCAAATTTCCGAAGGCCGTAAACACCCCATTGATAATTAAAATATAAACTGCAAATGAAAGTATACACTTGAGAATTGTCATCTACCTTCCTGGTCCAGCAAACGGCCTGGATTTGGGATTTGGGATTTGGGATTTGGAGAGGACTTGTTCTTCAAAATGGCACATGTAGATTTCTGTTAGTTGGGGGAAATGGGGGATCCAATGAGGACTTTTGATTTAAACATATTTATGCGAAAAATTAATAGATTAAGCACAGGTAACACACTTACGAGGCCTTCTCCTACATTACATTTTATTACATTGTGATATGCGAATAATAATAATAACAACAACAATAATAATAATAATTAAGCAGAATAAATGTACAGTGCATAGAAATTTTTATACAAGTAATACGTAAAACACACAGACACAAATACATACGTACACACGTACATATATCCACTGTAGTACACACATACACACATGACATACATTTATATTCACATGAGGACTTCACAATCAGCAGGTTATGTGAGCAGAAAGCATGCTTTGATACCATCTTCACCAGCCGTCCATCCATCAGGACCATCATCCTTGCCTATACTATGGCCGTTGCCCTCCCACCAACAAGCGACCCCCCAAAGGAGTGATCTATAAGATTGATTGTGACTGTGGTGACTCGTACATTGATGAAACCTACCGCCAAGTAGATACCTGCATCAAAGAACATAAAACTTCAACAGCCAATGCAGACAGCAAATCAGCCCTCTCAGACCACCACCAAGAGTTTCGCAGCCATCAAATCCAGTTTGACGAAGTCAAAGTCCTCTCCACTAAACATCAGGACTTTACACAAAAAAAACTCTCGGAAGCTAGAGAAATCCCTGTCACATACCTCTGATCAACACACATCAACGGTATTACACCCCGAGTGTTTATGAAGATTCGATCAAGCAATAGATTCTTCCTATTTGAATCTAAACCGCTTGTTCTACTATTTTAATTTGTGTCCAATCAGCTTGTTCAACTTCTTAATTCTTATTGTACATCTGGCTTGATCCAATTATCCGTGTGCTACTTGTTATCCATAACCTGTTCCTGTTCCTGTTAATCTGCTGCTTATCTCAACGCAAACATATTTGGACAAACACGTTTAGCTGCCAAAATATAAAGGGGATGCAAACCACATTCGCCTGGGACAACATATTTGGAATACATTTCTTTACCCCCAAAAGCCTCTTACCTGTATTGAATGCCGTGTCATTGTAATTTGTCCTGTGTATAGTGTTGAGCGACGTAGTCTCTTCAACAAGAGCCATGAGTTAAACTCAAATTTTATCAACCTGTCAGGTAATATTATGTGTCTCCTAACCGCAAATACCTGCAATGACATTTTACAAAAAAAGGGGAAAGTGCTTTATACAGCTGCTGCTTCTGTTTTTATTATATATGCTAAATATGTGAATACTTTTAGAAGAGTCTCTCGTAACTCAGTACGGAGTAGCCTATATATGTATTTTATAGTGTAACAGGGTTGTAATGAATCGGGGTAGGACTGTAATAAAAATCTGTCTGTTTGTCTGTATCGATTCCAAATTTTCAAAAGTGTCTAACCCCCAGATTTCAGAGCCATAAAATAGAACTGGTGCAACTTTTGTGTCCAATATCCGAAAAAACCCCAGGCCATAACGGATTGAATTTGTTCAGTGATCTCAAGACATACAACAATGTCTTCTTGGCCTGTGACTAGCGTTGTCTCTTGGCAATTAATAACTAGTTTTCTTAGACCCCAATTTGTCTCTGTAATCCAACAAGAAGAACATCATCAGAGAATGGCGAAGGTAGCGAATGTTCTATGTCTGGATGTGACTGAATATCATAACCACAGGGTTTTCGACTTCCTGTGCTAGCTTATTAATGGACATCGAAAATAACAGTGTTATATAGATGTAATAGATGTATCACATACTACTTCCTACGTGATCAGGTGTACCTGCTGCAATACACATGCAATAACATACTGTATGGACCAGTGAACATCCGGGTTAGAAAAGGTCTTCAGCAACCAATGCTTGCCGTAAAAGGCGACTATGCTTGTCGTAAGAGGCGATTAACGGGATCGGGTGGTTGATGCATGTCATCATATCCCAAAAGGTAGGTCATCCTAATCTTGACAATTTAATCTTCCTTTGTTTTGTTACCATGTATAGAACAAAGGCGGTAGTAACTTATTATGAGCCATGGCGGTTCAACCCAGTGATGTAGATCATCGTATCATATAAAAAAATTATTCAGATAAAAGTAAATTAGGTAATATGTATATTCGTTTTCGATAAAACTTTCTGTTTTGTATATATTATATTACCTGACTTGAATTGTGTGATGGGCATTTCTTAGAAGTTGACGGATGACAAAGAAGACAAAACGTTTATGGATAACAACTTCTTTATTGTACTGTTATTATACTGTAATAAAGAAGTTATCCATTACCTTAATGTCTACTTTATTACCTGCAAGCAACTGAATTTGTTTGTTGCCGCCGCATCTCTCGGGAGACGGTGTATTTTCCCTTTCTCTTCTGTAAAATTTCGAAGATCGATGCTCATGATGTCAATCATTGGATTGTCGGTTCCAGACACGATTATTTACAGACCGCGTCATATAGCTGAAATATTGCTGAATGCTCCGTTAAAAAACAAACTATAAACAAACAAACATGCTGTAAACCATCCTCGAGTGTCCAGTGTATTATTATCGATTCGATAAACGGCCTAGACTAATGCAATTTGGGAAGTGACGTCATTTAAGTTATTTGTAGAAATTAATAAAATAATGATTGGAGATTAAGGAGCAGTAACCTTGTACATTATCTTCACATATCACCTTCACCTGTGTGGAGTCGTGAAGACGTCGACGACGGCGGAATGTGTCCGGCTATTGTAAATGTCACGTGACGTACTTGTCTCATACAGAACAACAGAGCGTGTGGGTGGAGATAGGTGCGTGTGTGTAGAGACAAAGGTTAATGTTGTTGTGACGATACCATCAACTCAGAAACGAATAAAGCCTTCAAATCAAGTGCAGACCCGCCCAATGTTCAAATAGCTTACATACAGACACGGTGCATTGCCACAATTGTTTTAAGATATTGACGGATCAGAATTGGAGAATATCGCCATAAAGGTACGTGCACAAACTACGTTATAATGCGTTATATCCTGATATTTCGTACCTTCATAACACAAAATAAATTTAAATTTGCTCTTTCTCGTTTTCGTCTAAGTTGTCATGATCTGGAAATTGAGCGTGGGCGTCACTTCAATATACACGTACCTAGAAATTTAAGAAAATATAAACTTTGTAACTTTAACTGAGTTAAAAATTCTTCCATTTTAATTTCGTCAGTCCAGCACACATACAGTTAAGGCAACTATATATTAACACTAAGTTTTATTTTCATCCTAACATCCATAAATTTAACGTTTGATGTCATCGCCAAACTCTGACGTTATTACAACAATTACATCAACGTAGCAACATATTTGTACTATATGGAAAGAAATGAACGGTTAACTGTAATTCCGTATGTATCATAACGTTTGTACATAAAGGTCAGAGGCCTAAAAGTACTGTGATAAATTGATTGAAATATCTCCCAGATTATGATATTTGGGCTTCAGCAAAATGACAAACGAATCCGATTTGCGTCATTTTGGCCTTCCCCTGACAACCCATTGATCACCAGTTCAAATCGGCATTAACCCAAGCTCATGCACCTACTCACTCATTTAAATGTTACATAGCGATTATTATACGAGTATGTATATCATACTGAATTTACGAAAGGTGTGTCAAGAATCTTGTATTTTCCGAGCGAGAGCTCGTAAAGTCAGAATGACAGATATGGGAGTGTAAGAATGACTTTATTTTACCCACAATTCTTAATTCTTTTGAGCCCCACTTTAGAAAAAATGCACTCATCACCACCGCCACTTCAGAAAACTACAATTGTTGAATGACGTCTTCAGCTGTGACGTGTTTTTGTGTGGCGTCATTCCAACCTAACGTCACAAGACGTCGAATGACGTTAACAATATCGTCGGATGACACGACGATGCACTGGTGCGCGTGAAGGGATATTTGCCTCGGTGCACATAAGATGTTTATGAACTTGGTTATTGCTAACCCATTAGGGTAATAAAGTTTCTTATAGCCAGCTTCCGTCATTTCAGACATGAAGCTAACGTTGGCCCTAGCTGTGATTCTCCTGCTGTGTGCCACGCCGATAGGTGGCGCTAAGGTACCGGAAGAAGAGACACGCCTTGCACACGTCTCAGAGGTACCGAAGAGGTTCGTCAGGACAGTCCTGATGCGAAGGCGACGTCATCTTGACACACAACACCCTGGGAACCTCGAAAACAGAAGACGCAGAAGCGTGGTCGCCTTCTGCCAGACCGAGGAGTGCTTCAAGTTGATGGGGCAATATGATGAATGGCTGCGCCTACACGGCTCTGGATCTTCTAGTTCTGGTCGCTGGGGGAAGTAATACAGAAATCCAGAATGTTCTACCAGTGGCCTTATGGCCCCTGTCATTGTAACCACTAGGATGCTATATCAATGAGTTATGTCTAATGTCGCACTTCCTCCTGTTGCTGAAGCTTTTTACGGCCGCCAAGGAACAGTTGGTACGGATAGGGGTTTTGTGGTTGTGACGTATGCAGATATTCAGTACAGAATTAGAACGTAGGCAGAACAGTTCGCTATAGATTTGGACAGTCACCCTTTACTTGAAGTATCTATCTACCAGTCACTGCATATAAAACATCTCAAGAGAAAGTAGAAGTGATGACTACAAACAACACAACATAATGATGTCTTTGTCCTTTTTTATGGTATTATGAAAGAGTTTAACAGAATATATTAAAAGTCGACCAATACCCGTTGTTTGTTATGCACATATACTTTTGATTGACGATTGTTCTTAAACGACGTCATTCTTGTTTGATTTGTTTTTGTTTGTTTGTTGTTAACGCCGCACCCAGCAATATTCCAGCTATATGACGGTGGTCTGTAAATAATCGAGTCTGGACTAGACAATCCAGTGTTTGATATCATGAGCATCTATCCACGCTATTGGGATACGCTGACATGCATCAACCAAGTCAGCGAGTCTGACCACCAGATCCCTTTAGTCGCCTTTTACGACAAGCATGGGTTGCTGAAGACCAGTTCTAACCCGGATTTTCGCAGATATATTCATGTTTGAAACAGAATGAATGTAAAGTGCAGGACGACAGAAAGTATACGCCACGTTTGATGCTGGCTAAAAAAGAAACAAACACGAAATGATTATTCGATGGTGATGTATTTGACACAGATACGATAGTTATGGGTTGAACCTCTATTTTGCAGTATTTTTGCTGCTGTTTTCAGCCTAGTAACGGCTTGATAACGTTTGTAATTATTTGGTCAATTTCAATTTTCAAGTGTATACTTTCTTTCGCCCGGGAATTTATATTAAGTCATACACCTGCATATAATGTTCAACTGATTCTGCGTGGGTCATAATGTAAAAGCAATTGCTTTCGGGCACTGAAGTTTCACAAATTGGCGTGACCAGGTGTCCAAAGTCGTGTCTCAGTGCATACGAGTGACCACCCGGATGTCCTATAAATATCTGGCTGTTTTGCAGCTTCCTTCGTGTTTCGCTTGTTTACGAACCAAGGTTATATGAAGGAAAAGAAATGCTTTGTTCTCTTTTCTTATGCTCAGTCGCTCACTTCCAAACCATACCAGAAAACGCACAAAAGGCACTGGGTGGTGACATGAATTTCAAGGAAGGTAACTCGTTTCTCCCACCTTGTAAGGAGGCGCCACGTTATTACTGGCTAATGGCTATTGTATTACACAAGGGCACATGTCGATACTAACATGCAGATAGTGTCCGTCAGAACCAAACTTTGGACTTCAATCGAGTATTGTCGTGAGATGCCGCTACCCACAGAAGGCACAGAAGTCGTTATATTATTTTGTCTGTACCGCCAGACCCCGACACATACAGTTCGTATCACGTACGACTGTCGACTTTGAAAACATGTTTCTTGTATTCGTTACAGAAATAGTGTATTCACTTTGGTTCTGAGACGACAAAAGCAAACGAAGACACTTTGAACATAAGCATAAAGGTATCAGCCCAATTTCAATATTGGGTCATCCAGTGTTGTCTATGGTTTAGGACAAGTCATTTCCTCGTCTTTTGAATCAGAGATTTTATTCAGTGACTGGTCCCAGGTGTCAGATGCCACGGCAACTAACCCCACCTTCCAGAGAATGTCCCTCCGCCATTGTTGAGGAGGTAGGTGTTGTACTCTTCCATCATCTTCACACACTCGTCCGTCTGGCAGAAGGCCGTTGCACCATCGCGTTTGTCGTCACTGGCGGCTGAACGGAAGTGTTGAAGTAGCTGTAGCAACAACGCTGTGTCGTGATGTCGGATTGCTGCCTGGATGCCATGTGGCCCTCCCGATGAAAGAGAGGCTCCGTCACACATCCGGGCACATAGCCACACGAAGACAAACGCGACCGTCTGCTGAATGAATCTCATTCCTGTAACTGAAAGTCAAATTTACGTTGCTTTTATCTTATTTGATTAATGCTTTGTGGAACAGCTGATCTGCATCTCCTGTTGATGTACATCAACTCGAATGGTTTGTGCTTCTAATGAATCACAATATAATAAACAAAATATTGTCCGCCAACTTTCTGTAGCTTTGGCGGATCCTGGGAGTATTTGGATTGAATGACACAATGTCAATACACACAAAAACAGTGGAAAGCGTTTCTTTCTATTCTTAGATAATGATTCTGAAAGTCTTTGACCTTTCTTCCAGGCCTGAATATATCACAAAATTGTTTGGACAACTACTGTTCAAGTTAGGTTAAGAATATATATTTTCCTTCAAATCACCGTTACCAAAGGTTACATGTTCATAATACATGTTGTACTAATTATCCATGTACTTCATTAAACCTAACGGAAAGCGGTCAAGTTAGTTATCACTTACAATTCAACACTTTTGTAGTTTGAAATAAAATCGACAAAATCCTTTCAATATTCATGAGAACCTCCGCCAAAAGCAGAATCGATTGTACGATTCCGACTTTATCCCGGGCATGTGTATATGAATCACTATCAAATAGTTCTGGGGTTTGGCTGGTATTTTCTTTAAATACTCTGTTCCAGAGAAAAATGGAAAAAAACATGTCCTCAAGTTTCAGCAATAAAATAAATTGTTCACTGGTCAAACTAGATGTCCTGATGTGAAATCTGAAAATACATTATTCTGCTAATCCATTAATTAATCCATTGGCCGGAAATAATAGCATGTTTCTTATACAACCCCTCCACACACACACACACCCTCCCCCTCTCGCCCTTGATATTGAATCGTGGGCCCTTAAAGACAATGAGACAGAGCCCACCAAGACTCACCTGTGCTCCTCGAGATCTCGAGGCTTTCTCCACGGGAGTAGTCCTGACCAGCCTGGTGGAGGGTCAGGTCTAATCACTCACTCTGGTAGTGGCCCTGGGTGAAGTAAGTCAGTTTATCAGTTAAATAACACTGCTCCAAATACTATACTACATGGAATAAACCGAAGTGAAAAACTAGAACTAGAAGTCCTTTCATTAAAGCTTCACCCGCATTGCCTCCCATTGCTTATGACGTTGATATTTTGGATTAGTGAGTGGTTGAGTGAGTGAGTGGGTGGGTGTGTGGCTTTGTGTGGGTGGGTGGGTGGGTGTGTGAGTGAGTGAGGGTGTGGATGGATGAGTGAGTGGTTGAGTGAGTAAGTGAATGGGTGGGTGGGTGTGTGAGTGAATGGGTGTGTGTGTTTGTGAGTGGTTGTGTGAGTGGTTGAGTGAGTGGGTGGGCGGAGGTGTGGTTGAGTGACTAAGTAACTGACTAAGTAACTGAGTGTTTGAATTGGCAAGTGAATGGTATTAGTGAGAGTGAACCTATATCACTGTGAGGTATCGTGCTTTTCTGAGATTGTGAAACTTCAAGCACACCCTTTGAGTATTTGAGATTCCACATTGTAATAATTCCGCTTGTCTCAAATACTTTCTGTAAGTTTAAAAGAGTCCGTCCTTGATTGTATTAATGATTATGGTCAATATTTGAGAGGGATTTGGCGGTACATTTACTAAACTCTGCAATTTCTCTAAGCACATATATACAAATATCTTAAAAACAATATGTTTTTATATACAGTTTTGAAACAGTTATTTGTAATGTCAAAGTCATTATTATTGTTATACAATAGTTGCGACAAAAACAGATTTTGTAAGAGGCAAGGTTTTAGATTGTGTTCGTCTACTTCTGATTATTCGATATACACTCTGGTTCAAGCAGTTGAAAATAAACAAAATCGTCTTTGGTAAGTTAATAATCAGCAATGATATCAATTAACCCAATCAAAAGTAAATTAAAGCTAGTGTTGTCAGAGTGAAAAGATACATTTTTATTTATATAGGTCACAATGAAGTACAAATAAAATAAAATTTAAAAAAAATGAAAAAACCCAACATATTTTAAATATGTTTTTGCCTGTTGGGTACATATATATGACACAACTATTTAGAACAATGAAATTTCAAATGACATAATATTTTTCAGTATCAAAATTAAACTCTTGTAAACAATAAAATTAGCAGAGGTATTGCTATCATATTTCTAAAATAGGCCAAAAAAGAAATATGTAACATTCACCTGTGGACATGATATGATTTTGAGAACTTAAGGAGGTTGTGAATATTGTTTTACGCCGCTGACTATATCTGTCTCAGCAATATCACGGCCGAGTCACTTAGAATGCCTTTATGTGTCACCGAACCGTGGTCTTCAGTATGACGAAGGATTGCTTCAGCTACCTGGCTGCCTCACCGCCCACGCGGTAGAATAGGAGCGGGTGATCAGGTATTCACTCACCAGGGAACAAATAGGTCAGCTTATCTCCCGGGTGAACTGCTATCACGTGTTTACCTCGACAGCAGACCAGTTGTAGTTCAAGGTTCAATCAGAGATACAAGGACGCACTGTCACCATCTCACATAGAGTACAATGTATATTGACCTAATTACCAGTCGAATACAATCCGACATACCCTACACAAACCACGTTGGGATTACTTGTCACCTACACCTCATTCATGACTGACGTTGTGATCGGGTGGTCAGGCCCAGTAACTGGATTGGGTGAGACGAGGTCGAATGTGGTTTAACGTCGCGTCCAAGGTTATTTCACTTATATCGCTACCTGCATACACGTGTATGTGGCTGCTTGTACAAGTCAGGACTAATGCCGATTTTATACTTCTAGCCCACTGATATACCATGTCGCAGTTTAACATGAATACCCACTCAGACACAGTATACTGACTCCGAGCCGACCAGTCTTTTTAGCCCTTTAATGCCGAGCGCTAAGCAGGGTACCAAGTGTCATCTTTGAATGTCTTTTGGTATGACGCGGTCGGGAATGGAACCCCGGACCTTCCGCTCTCCGGGCGGACGCTCTTCGACCAGACCAAGGAGGCGGTCTGGTTGATTGGGTGTCATCTTACTTGACACTTAAGATGTTGATCATATTGTAAATTCTATAAGGACAGCAAGTCGCAACAGCAGCGGATTGTTTTCATGTTAGCATCCAAACCTGGCTCCCACAGGAGATATCGCTTGGGTGAGATCAAGCGATATAAACTTTGTAATCACAATGCTTTGCAGACCATTACGGGTGCATTGGTTACCTTGGGCACGCCAGTACCTATGATTGTGGGTTCGAATCCCGGTTCGCCCCGATTATGTTTCTAGGTTTTTCAGCACCATACCCGTGGTCGTGAGTTTCAACGAAGTGATAAACGTCTGAGACCTGCATCACTTCGGGCTTTTCTCCCACATTAAGCTGACACGCCGCGATATAACTGCAATTTACTGTTAAAAGCGGCGTTAAATCCAACTCACTCACTCACTCATGTAGCTGGAATGTTGCTGACTGTGGCTTAAAACAACAAATAGATACACACGCAAGTTGTATTTTGACTTCACACCACACGATCGTACAGCGGTCACAGCGTTCGCCCGTCACGCTTAAGAGTGAGTATGGTTTTACGCCGCTTTTCAATAGCAATATTCCAGCAACATCACGGCGGGGGACACCAGAAATGGGCTTCAACCATTGTACGCATGTCGGGAATCGAACCCGGGTTTTCTGCGTGACGAGCGAACGCTTTAACCGATAGACTACCCGACCGCCCCGTCACGCGAAATACCCTGTTTGACTCCCGATATTGGTATAATATGTGAAGTTTTTTAGGGTAAGCAATTGACTTGCCTTTGCATGTGTTTTTGACGAGTGACACGGGTGGGACAGGATACACCCACCCTTTCGCGCGCGAACACATGGTATCATCACTATTTGATAGTGATTCAAAAACGCAAGCCCGTGATACAGTCGTAATCATACAATGGACTCTGCTTTAAGTAGAGATTTCTTGTGGCTATGATAAGAGTTTTGTCCCTTTTGTCATTGATGTCCCCTGTAATGATATTGCTGTCTTGAATGTTTTTGCACAGTCATTCGTTTTATTGACTTAGAAAAGAACTGTGAGACGTCTATAATCCCCATTGACCCACATTACTCATATCCAAACGCGAAGGACGGGCTTCTTTGGTATCGCCTTATCTGTTGCTCGAACATCTTGACCTGCTCAAACTCTCCCGGATTCTGTTGGTGTGTAAACACTATCCAGTTCGTTTTGTTATTTATCGGTGACAAATTACATTTGGCTCATTGAAATCGTCTAAAGATGATCAATACGATGCTCCATGATACACGTTGACAAACATTTTTTTTCTGATTAATAAAGTTTATACACATCTGCTGACACTACATGCCATGGTGAGGTGAAATTGGGTTCAACACACGGGAGTGCGTGTGTGTCTGTGTGTCTGCTTGTACAAATCCGGACTGATGCCGATTTATAGTACCAGCACACTGAGATACCATGCCGCAGTTTAACATGAATACCCCACTCAGACACAGTATACTGACTCCGAGCCGACCAGTGCTTGTTTTAGCCCCTTAATGCCGAGCGCCAGACAGGGTAACAACAAGTACCATCTTTAACGTATCTTGGTATGATGCGGCCGGGGATCGAGCCCCGGACCTTGCGCTCTCCGGGCGGACGCTCTACCACTAGACCACGGTGACGGTCTGTATGCCATGGGAAAAACAGGTGGCTCATTGGTCTACGGTGCCGTATTCGCTGTGTAGAGTTGTGTCCCCAAACTCATGCCAGGATCCGCTGATCATGAGTTTGTGTCACAGACTCGTTCTGAAACTGATCCAGGCAAATTCAAATGTCGACTCTGCTAGTATTATTGTTTGCAATAGTTCAATCTTGATACTGAAAAACATTTTATCATTTAACATTTTATTGTTCTAACTAGTCGTGTTATATAGATATGTTCCCAACAGGCCAAAACATAGTTAAAATGTTTTTTTTCTTTTTATAGATGTGTAACTGAAATAATGAATGAAAGAATCAAACCCACCACAAAAGGAGGCAGGCTTGGTGGAGTTACTTCCCTTAGCTGCCAGGATCCGGAGGTCGTCACTTGTTGCCTTATTCTGCCCTTTTATCAGAAACATTTGAAGGAAAAGGCTTGAGGAATGATATCTAGTAAGGCTCAACATATATTTCTGTGGAATGTTTTAACTCATTTTTTATCTTTCCTCTCAGTTTGATCCTTCTATTTTTACACGTGTGTATAGTCGGAGATACATTTCATCTATTTTGTGAATTATGTGAAATTGGTTTGTGGGTTCGAATCCCTGTTCGCTCGATTAGGCTCGTTCGTTCGCTAAGGTAATGAGATACAGTCTACAACAAACTCGAGGTTTGAAACACACGCAGTTAACCACAGCTGGGTACATCTGTTAACGCGGACGTTTTGTAGTTCACAATAGGCAGAAACGTCCAGTCGTTGATAATGTTATCAAGATTCGCCAGCTTAATATTCACACATCTCCCTTCAAGGCTTTACCGAATATATAGTCTGTGGACCTTGCGTATTGAACTTGACGAACCTTGGGTGCTGATTTTACAAAATCGACTTTTTTTTGTTAAGCTCTAACATTTTGTGGACCTAGATAACATGTTTAACCTACTTTCCAACTTGTGACTCGTATGCTGTTTACATAAGTGTCACAATCTACACCTGACACGCAAGACTCGTCGACAGCAAACATTTGGAGTAATGTGACACGAGGCATCAGACAGACACATGGATCTCAACCCCACCCTGGGCTGAAATATATATTAAAACGCCTAAGTTTGAATTGAAGGCAGCGCCTATTCAACAGATGTTCCTGATTCTGTTTGAGCGTGAATGTTTGTTTTCTCTTAGGCTGTTTACAGGGTCTTTATTACTTTAACATATATCTACTTTAACTCATCACGTTGAACCATGGAATGTTTTCCTATCAGAAAGGAGGAGGCTCACTGAGTTAGTATTTGTACACTCTCGATATATCGAAGCCTTCGTCTTATCCAGATCTCGTTTTTTTTAAATTTTGAACTGTCAAACTAACTAATTTTGAGTCTGTTGCAAACAATATTCCATATATTTATAACCGAAGTTGACTGCAAATTCAGTTTAGGTACAGTCAACACGATATCCCCCAAAGAGTATGTATACAGCTCCCATTGCTGATGTTAACTGTTAATGTATACAACCTCGTGAAGATCCGGGGTAGAATAGGTCTTCATGCAGCAACCCATGCTTGCCGTAAAAGGCGACCATGCTTGTCATAAGAGGCGACAAACGGGATCGGGTGGCCAAGCTCGCTGACTTGGTTGATACATGTCATCATATCCCAATTGCGTAGATCGATGCTCATGATGTCAATCACTGGATTGTCTGTGCCAGACTCGATTATTTACAGACAGCCGTCACATAGCTTGAATAATGCTGAGTGCGGCGTTAAACAACAAACAAGCAAACAAACCTCCACGTATCCAGCTATGCAGCTACGGCCGCATCCATACATCCATTGTCTAATGTATACAGCTCTTGATGTATCTACCTCGGCTCCTGTCTTAAGTTTTTATCAACATTGTAATATTTCATGGCTACAGACTAAACTGGATTGTAACCGTAACTGCCTATGCCTCCCTACTCGTAAATCTCCATCTCCATAATGTTTACATGTTTATGTAAACTCATGTGTGATAAAGCTGATTGATTAATTAATTGATTGATTGTCTCATGTATTCATATCCTGTCTAAGTATACATCTCGTCTCATGCATATATTTCCTGACTTAAGTATCAGTTTTTGTGTCTGTGTGGATTTGTCACAGGACTGTATCATTATATTCTTGAATCCCACACCGCACACAGGCCGCACACACACTCAATATGCCCACGAAGCCTGTATTCATTTTATGTTATTTTCAACTTTATAAAACGAAACCAACTATTTACAAAAATAGAACTGTCGTTTTTTCATACCGCTCCCTCTTATACTCTTCTATCCTACCCTCGCAAACAGCGTCTTTGTGGAGTTGTCGCGCATCGAAAAAATCCTACCACTGCTTTCCGTCGATTGTTCTTATGTAAATTTAATGGATTGTTTTTTAATAAGAGCAACATGGAAATCATGCAAGGTTTTATTTTTATAAAATACAGCGTGTGGGTTATTTAAGGACTATGGAATTAACATCCTAAGTTGATAATTCTTTCGGTTCGTTGAGCACGAGCGACAGCTATATTACTAGTTGAGAAGAAAATAGTATAACAGCAGACGACTCCGTGCAGTCTGTAGCGAGCTATCTTTTCACATAACTTGCTGTCACTTCACCCAGCTGTATCATTAAACATGAAGATGGCGTTAGTGAAATCCAACCTCGGTGACTCTCCAGCCGCGAATCTTATGTTCAATGAAAGAATACGTCAAATGATTAAGGATGGCCAATTTGTCTATCATTTTGGATTTGGCCAAGCACCGTTCCCTGTGATTGAATCTGCACTTGACAGTCTGAAGGAAAATGCTGGTCAAAACGCTTATCTCCCGGTACAAGGTAGGGAACATAGATTTGATTTGATTGTAGGTATTAATCCTTGTCACACTTGTCATAATTTGAAGTAGGCCTACATAAGCTATGTGCTGTTGTTGAGGGAATGGTACCACTGCCACCATTGGGATGCACCTCTTGAATGCAGCATGGTGCCAATCGTTCCATAACAATGGAAAAGGAAGAATCTGGTTTCGTCAGTAATAGGCACTCTGTGGGTGGAGACCAGGGTAAAGTGAACCCTCTAACACATTCGTCTAAATGCTGTGGTTCTAAACAAAGATATATCGCCATTCTCAAACTGTCTTAACTGCCCATGACTTTTGTGAATCTTATATGTAAGTCATCTTGTACATATACATTCAAATTATTTGTAAATAAATCAATATTCCACCCTTATTGTCTTTCGATCGTTCGTTTCAAATCCAGTTCCACTTTTTTACTTGCTCGAGTTGTTAATATAACACTCGATACCCATTGTTTAACTAGATAGGCGGATTTAAATATTCGCAGGACGACGACCTCATTTTTTGCTAGTTTGTTTTCATACGACACAGGGGGTCGTCGTCTTGCGATTGAACCCTTGCAAGATCTCTGACAAATCGCTTGTGATTCACTACGTTATCGCTGGAATCCTGGTTGACGAGTAATGTTCAGAAGAATAGTTTTTAAAAAAACGACGCTGTGCGAGGGTTGCGGTCGCGCGGTACTGGGTCAACATCTGACTTTGCAATTCAATTTAAGTTGTATCATTACTGAAATTTTAACCCCCTGGTGGAAAAATGAAAGACTGGTTGAAAGTGTTATATGTTGTCCACGTTTCTGTTTTGCTGACGAAAATGCACCTAAAATATGTAGCCACATTTGATCGTACATAGATAAAGTACAGTGAGAGCTTTATTTATCATCCAAAACTGGCTCCCACAGGAGATATCGCTTGGATGAGATCAAGGGATAACTACACTGTAGATATCGCTGCAATGAAATTACATCACAAAGCTTTGCAGACCATTGTAATGTCACTGGTTACCATGACGTCACAATCAAATGACACCACTAATGTTTGCAGTACTTTTTACACTGAAGACACTGCTAATTACTGTCTACAAATTGAAAAAGTTGAAAGAATGATGTTGGATGATAAATAGAGAATCTCACCCGAGTGTCATTTGATATCAAATATATCAACACGAGTTGATAAAAGTGGAAAAATTCCGAGGCTCAAAACTGGCTCCCACAGGAGATATCGCTTGGATTAGATCAAGCGATATCTACACTGTAGATATCGCTGCAATGAAATTACATCACAATGCTTTGCAGACCATTGTGACGTCACTGGTTACCATGACGTCACAATCAAATGACATCACTAATGGCTCTGCTACTGAAGCTGTTAGCAGTACTTTTTACACTGAAGACACTGCTAATTACTGTCTACAAATTGAAAAAAGGTGGATGAATGATGTTGGATGATAAATAAAATCTCACCCTCGTGTCTTTTGATATCAAATATATCAACACTCGTTGATAAAAGTGGCAAAAGTCCTCGGCAAGCCTCGGTTTTTTTCCACTATTATCAACTCGTGTTGATATATTTGATATCAAAAGACACTCGGGTGAGATTCTCTATGTAAACTGTGTGCGAAAAAGATACTGTCTTAAATCCGAACAACGTCATGGCAGATATATTAAAATTGTACGATTATGTCTACGAAAACATTCTTGTTTATGTGGCGAAAATAAAGTTTCCTCTATGACGTCAAAACACGAGGGAGCGGTCAACATGTACAAAGACAAAAAGGGACATAACTCCGCAATGCTTAAAAACAATTGTAACTCAGTGTCGGTCATGTCCGTGGTGAGCATATGCTATGACTCAGGACAATACATTCTAGTATTCTATTGTTTATGTGTATCTACAAAGTTCCAACACTATCGATTTTGATAACCACATCGGTTTCATTTCTGGGACATTGAATGATTGTCATCCAAAATGTCCTGAAAACATATTTCAGATTTTGTGATAATATAGAAGAATTACCTATAAAGTGCCCTTTGGTCAGTTAAAACAAAATTCTTTTAGGTTTTATCCCAATTTGTAAGTAACGTTGGAATCGGTACCACAAAAGAGTAACAGTATATTACCACTAATATTCGTTGATGGTATAGAAAATGTCGATTAAAAGAACATAATGTTTGGCTTTATCACTACAACAGCTCCACAACCCCACACCCCACACCCACCAACGCACACCCAAACCCCAAGAGACCATGCCCCGCCTCCACCCATGAATCTCAAATGCTCGGCCCCTATTTTGAAACGCGCACCTGATGCAAACTTTTGTTGTCAGTGTTCTGCCAATTAAACGAAAAAATCCCTTAAAAATGGCAAATTTCTACTAGTACTTATGATATCTTAACACTTGGGCAGATTGGTAAGGACTTCGGGACTAGTGCCAATTTCGGAGGCTCTTAAAAGCAACAGCTCTTGGACAGCGGCTTGGATCAACACCAGTTAGTTGCTCAAAGTTAAACCTGGTGGGGAGTCTCCGCTTTGGACACACAAACGGACTAACCGCGGAGCCATTTGGAATTGACGCTATCCTGAGTGAATACTGTCATTCAGCCTCTGCATAGCGTTGATGCTGATGAATTTGTTGCATTTTCTCTATTCTTTGTTGCCAGGTATCCCGGAATTACGACAAGGCATCTGTAACTTCCATGCAAGATATGACTCCCTCGGCAGCCTCGACCCAAACAACGTCATTGTTGGCCCTGGCAGCAAAGAGCTCATCTACCTTCTCCTAAATGTCTTCAATGGGAGTGAGTACACTGCAAGCCATCGGGGTTTCTTGAATCAGCTCTAAAACAATCATAGGTTCAAGAAGAGACCATATAATAGACCAAATAATATGGTCAATGGCTTCTTCTGTCTAATTATCCCCAGGCGGGGCAAGCATAAGGGAAATGGGGGCTTTTTTTTATCTACTTGTCCCCAGAAGAGGCAAGCATGGGGCACTGGGGGCTTGTTCTGTATAGTTATCCCCAGAAGAGACAAGCATGGGGCACTGGGGGCTTGTTCTGTATAATTATCCCCAGAAGAGACAAGCATGGGGCACTGGGGGCTTGTTCTGTATAATTATCCCCAGGCGGGGCAAGCATGGGGCACTTGGGGCTTGTTCTGTTTAATTATCACCAGAAGAGACAAGCATGGGGCACTGGGGGCTTGTTCTGTATAATTATCCCCAGGCGGGGCAAGCATGGGGCACTTGGGGCTTGTTCTGTATAATTATCCCCAGGCGGGGCAAGCATAAGGGAAATGGGTCCTTTTTTTTGTCTAATTATTCCCCCATGGGGCACTGGGGGTTTGTTCTGTATAATGAAGGGAGGGGGTAATCATTCTAAATTATCTGTTTTGTTATTATTCACGCTTAACCAGTGGTACTCATATTGTTCAAGGAATACACGCTTTTATGAAGAACAGGGCATGTTTATGGACGTTGTCTGATATATAGCCATGTCTGTGGACAGCCGTGCTGCTGTTGGCACCGTCGTGGCCGACGTATGAACCTCAGGCGGTCTTGGCAGGGAGAAAACCAGTTATAATATCCACCTCATCTGACAACAACTGGCAACTGACACCCGAGTTGCTAGAGCAGGTGAGCTCAAACTTGCGCCTTTTGCGTGCAGTAATATTCATACCAATGTGTATCTAGGTAGGTGCAGCGACGATAAATATACTACCGCGCAAAAGAAAGTATACACTTGGAAATAGTTCCCGAAATTGCGACCCCCATGTTCCTTGAGATGTCATTATCATATGCAGGTTACCTGTTGTGAGGTACTTATTAAGATGATGCATATAATATCGCATGTGATACCCGTAATATCATCAACTATATTACCGTCGAATAACCAATTTCCCGTTTGTTTCATTTTAAAAAGAAAGGGGGGTGGGGGTGGGGGGTGCCACCCAAACCATCACAAACACTATTTGTAAACCATTGTTAATTATACTTTAACAACCAAATTATGTTAATATGGTAGGCAATGCACATACAATTTGTCATCACGTGTAAAAATGGGGTTGGGGGGAGGAGATCAACCCCAGAACCGCCCCCTCTATTGACTTGGTGTCAAATTATACGATTATGATAATTGAGATGTTTAAGCTACCCTTATTTACTATACCCCGATGTTTGTCAACAGGACATAAGAACAAAGGCATACGTTAACAAAATTATGAAATTGTAGTGGAACCTTTTTATCAGCCACTTTTCGTTTAAAACAGATAGCAACATGGCTCATTATCGTCATAATAGTCTAGTTTTTATTTGGCAGGCAATTGAGTCAAACCACGTGACCGGAAACAAGCTTCTGATTCTGACCAATCCAGACAATCCCAGTAAGTGAAATGATTCGAATGGTCAGTTGATGGCTTGATGAGTTGCCACAATTGTATACTCAAGGGCGGATCCAGCATTTTTAAAAGGGAGGGGTCCAAAATATCAAAATCCTCTCGGATAATTTTAGTCTAAAACATATTACATTTTGTTACCAAAAGACCACCCTGCCACTTCTGGATCCGCCTGTGGTATATTAATCTTTTCACCTGACGGATCAAGAATAGATGAATACAAGAGAAACTAGCAACACAACTATTCCCTGAAAGTGCACTGAAAATGTATTGAGATATATGTGAGAAACTTTAACTGTTGCATGTTGCACATGACAGATACATTTCGCATGACGTTTAAACACATCGCTCATGCTAAATCGTGCCCTCAGTGAACGGAAAACAAATAACATTATCACCATTGGATTATGCATTGGGTTATGCATGTGTACACGCGTATGTCATTTAGACAACTGTTCATGTATAGTAAAACATGTAAATCAGTGGTGCTAATATCTGAAAGTGTCCTAAGTTGGAGAACTTGTACCCAACCCGATTCACTTTTTGTGAATAAAATATATTAAAACCAAAGACTAATGTTCAAATGTATAACTGTTTACGCATAGTATACACAAAGAAAAAAGTTTAGCACACCCCTACTTCTGAACCATGACAAATGGCAAAAATCATGGCATGGGATGACTGACCACAGGAGCTGGGCGATACCAATGTCATCTGTTAGAACAAACATTTGACAACAAATGAAGAAGATATTGGTGAGTTTCGCTTGATTACGTAAACGAGTTACGTTTGATGTTTCATGTTAAAATGTTCCTTAAAGTCTCTACAGATCAGTAGCGGGTGTAACCGCCACGTGCCCGGATGACGCATTCCACCCTACGTCTCATGCCTCCAGTCAGACGTTGGATAGGTTGATGGGTCAACAACAAACACTCCTGATGTAATGCTGCTTCCAATTGGTGTAAATCTTGTACAGGAGGATCTCGTGCCTGTATGCGCCTCCCCAGAATAGCCCAAACATGTTCAAGGGGGTTCAAATCTGGGCTCAATGCTGGCCAGGGTAGGGTCGTTATTGCATTGAGCCTCATATAATCCACGACTGCATGCGAACGATGAGGCCTGGCATTGTCTTCCATGTACTGAGGTCGAGTAGCAAGAAGGTGGTTGTCAAAATGAGGAACGACGACTGGCCTCAAAACGTCCCGGATGTACTGAGCCCCTGTTAAGTTGCCCCTTATGGTGATCAAATCCAACCTGCAATCATGAGAAATACACCCCCAAACCATTACCGAGCCCCCGCCGTATGCAACAGTCGGTTTAATGTTCCTTGGGGTTTAGGCCATGTTCCGGTGCCTCCAAACTCTCGTTCTTCCATCAGTGTCGTGGAGCAGAAGGCGACTTTCGTCTGACCAGTGGGTCCGTCTCCATGTTCTCAGATTCCAGTTCTGTCGCGCAATACACTATGCAAAACGAGCAGCTTTGTGGTGATCTCTCAACAAGGGACGCTTTATGACTCGTCTAGCCCTCAGTCCTGCTGCTTTCAGCCGGTTCCTGACGGTTCTGGTGCTGAAACGACGATTGGGCAACCACAGCTGTTTCGGACGAGTACTTGTTAAAAAGGGTCCTCGGCGTATGAGACGAAGGAGGTCCCTGTCTTCGCGATGTGTCGTCACAGGAGGTCTTCCGGATCCTGGACGGTCATGTACATCACCGCCCTGAGCATGTTTCTCGACTCACCGGCTTACGACAGTGTGGTGATACCCCAAATTCCGACCAGTGGCATTACAAGACATTCCTGCGTTATGCATGCCGATTATTTGCCATCTTGTGGCGTTTGATAATCGCCTTCGTGCCATGGTCACACAATGTCATGGAAGAACTGTTTAAAACCGAATTTAAGAAAGAATTTTTAACGTTGGGATATACTGCTTTTATAGATACTCGAGGGTGGCTTGATGCACGGGCATACCATGCATGGCACGTGAGCTTTCGTCACGCATGACTGATTATATCATCTCGAGAAAACAATTCTTCCCGTAAGTTTATCTTTCATGACTGTTACAAACATGGGACCGAACAATAGTGAAATATATTAGGGTGTGCTTAACCTTTTTCTTTGTGTATATTTACGCCTGTAAGTATAAACGTACAATCAATGCCTTCATCATGACGTCACGATGACGTGCGTCTTGTTTGTATTAAAATAGCCTGTTCTTTCAGCCGGAACCAGCTACGGGGATGCCCAACTGGTTGCGTTGAGGTAATCTGCTATCCAATCAGTAGGCATAAAGTCTTTAGTCGATAGGAAAGCCTGTGTGTGTGTGTGTGTGTGTGTGTGTGTGTGTGTGTGTGTGTGTGTGTGTGTGTGTGTGTGTGTGTGCGTGTGTGTGTGTGTGTGTCTAACTGTCTGTCTGTCTGTCTCTCTGCTTGTACTGGTCCGGACCAATGCCGGCTTTATAGTGCTAGCAACTGACATACCATACCGCAATGTTAACCCTACTCAGACACAGTATGCTAACTCTGACCCAACCAGTCCCTGTTTTCCCACCTTACAATGACGAGGGCCAGGCGGGGTACAAAAGGTACCACCTTCAGTCTTATGGTAAGACACGGCCGGGATCGAACCACCGACCTTCCGCAGATGCTCTATTCACTACACCACGGATGCGGTCTCTAGCGTATTAGTGAGAAGTACATAAGTCAGTTGAACCTTTTCCCAACAACTCGGATTGTACAATTTCATGTCTCAGTTTTGTTTAATATGAGCCTGTGCTGTCTAATTCATATCTTACTGTTGGTTCATGTTAATGGACCTCTGGTATCTATTGCGTTGAAATGCGTGTCTGAGTGCTTCTAAAGTACATTTGTTTTATTACAGTAAAGCTTTCCGAAAGAACAACGTGATTGTTCTGAGTGACGAAATCTATGCGAGACTTCACTACACCCAAAGTCATGTGACACTTGCAAAGGTACGTTCGTGCATCATGTGACATACTATTCAGAAGGTGTTAATATACTTTATACACCAGAAAATGCATGCATGCATTCTTAACATTAGCATTTGGTGTGTCAAATAAGTCGGTTGATGAGGTAATACGTCCATCGTGTTCCACTAATGGTGAGGGCATACTGCATCTCGTCTTTTTGATGATGTGTGTAATGACTGTGTGCAAGTAATTGAGAGGTCGACAGTCTAGTGCTGTCTGATAGAAAAAACCAAACAAGTTTAACACACATGTATATACCAAATGGCCACAATGATCACAACATCCGTCTGGTGATGAATTGTGTACCAACATAATACGATGGACCCTTGTTCTTACAGTTTGGGGGGCGGTCGGGTAGCCTAGAGGTTAAAGCGTTCGCTCGTCACGCCGAAGACCCGGGTTCTATTCCCGACATGGGTACATTGTGTGAAGCCGATTTCTGGTGTCCCCCGCCGTGATATTGCTGGAATATTGCTAAAAGCGGCGTAAAATCAAACTCACTCACTCACTCACTCTTACAGTTTGAAGCTTTGATACAGTACACCGCAACGAATGGTGTTCAGTATCGAGATGAATTCAAATCTTCAGCATTCAACATTGTAACACTACGTGCAGAGAATGACTTTCGTTTAACTGCTTTGACTGGTCTTAGACGAGAACCCACGAGCACAGGTATGGTGCTGACAATTTTTTTAGTCGTCAGGGTGAATCTGACTTTCAAACCCACGATCATAGGATTTCGGCAAGCCTTTAGCTCGCAACTCTGCAAAGCAAACTTCATACTGAATAGGGTCTAACAGATCTGTCGCAATGTTATGGAGGTAGGTGATAGAAACCAAGTGATGTCCTTGAACCCACGGAGGGCCTCCGGCAGTGTTGACATATTCGACAGAATTGTAGTTGGGTCACATTCCGTCGCCATTCAAGCAAGCGTCAGATGACAGCGACCAATCAAATTGTCTGAACAGGGTGTCATTGTCCAAGCTGCGGTAACCGAAACAGTAGGCGTCGGATGACAGAGCTGTTTGACATTGGGTTAATTTGCTTTCCACCAAATTGTCTGAACAGGGTGTTATTGTCCTAGTTGCAGTAACCACATCTTTGTGTTGCTCCCAATAAACGATGTTTGATTGACTTGTCCGTACACAAGCTGTCCCCTGGTGTTTTCCTAACAGATTCTCGATTCGGAACATACAGCACTGGCAACCCTGCCATAACCAGGAGGGCACGGATGTTTGACCGCCCTCGCTGATGGCAATGGCAAAGACAAAAAATCTGTAACGGTGCGGTTTCAAACTCGATAAGTAAATAAATTGTTGTGCACACGATCTAAAATATAAGAACTCGTATTTGAGGGCAAGTGTCATTGGAAGTGAATTTGTCGTTAAATCAAAACGCATGCACTTTGCTGAAGCATGTAAATTGCGATGGCAATTTGGATCTCAGATCTATCAGGAAAACGCTATGGACAGCCCATTTATCTGTGTAGGGAGTCGGTAACCGCAGCTAGCTTAGTCCATGCATTGTTCGGCACAAATACCTGGTGAAACAGACACGTTCATATTGAAGAAAATGTGTCATCTGATAGTTTGGCGAACAGAGAACGCATGTGGCGGTGCGCTGTAGAAGAGTTGGTTTCCATACCCATTCTTGCAGAACAATAACTATCTGTTGTGCATATGTTTTATTTTTGTTCTCGTTGTGATGTCACGTGAGAAGGACCTAACTGACTTATGTAGAACTAGGCTGTTGTTGTTAGTGTGCAGTGATACCCTTATCAGAGCTCCAGGTAAGCTTTTGGTGTTGTGGGTATTTTACCCATGCATTTTAAAATCATTGGGTATCAGTAATTCTATCTGGGTATTCAAATTTCTGTTACCCACTAGTTTTTACACATGTGGGTATTTAAGTTAAATATTTAAACGCTATTCATCTAGTCCCTGCAAACTGGTGCCGTGTGGGTTCGAGAGCTTTACAGGACTCAAAAATACCACGATACTTCCACAAGAAAGTGTGATGGCAAATGATCATGATGTAACTGTCATCGTGGAGTTTGGCAAAGTTGACGGAATGCCCGTTTATAATTTCAAAATAAGTTGCTGATTTGCTAATCGAATACACAGGGTTACTTCACAATATTTAGATGATACGCACAAGTTTTATTTTTGTGGTGTATCTGTAATGTTCGTTGCGTATTTGATACGCTTGGATTTTATTTTAATGCGTCTTTCTGCATTTCTGATGCGTATTTCATGCAGATACGCAGCTTATCTGGAGCTCTGCCATTATCCCGGAAACCTTCTTTACGTCAGTCATTTACTGATGAGAAAGGATCGGGTGGTCAGGCTCACTGACTTGGTTGATGCATGTCATCGTTTCCCAATTGCGTTGATCGATGCTTATGACATCAAGCTCTGGATTGTCGGGTCCAGACTCGATTATTTACAGACCGCGGTCATAGAGCTGGAATATTGCTGAGTGCCGCGGTAGACAAACAAGGAAATACAAATGAACAGGTGATATTACCTCCAACCTGTGCTTCCCACCTGTGGTTTATTAATCCGGATCGCCTCTGAAAAGAAGACGAAGAAGTCTCCGTGGTCATTAAGGACAATGTAATGGCAGTTAGGTATTTCGTCTTCATCGGCAAGGCATAGTAGTTTGTCAACACACGCACACGGATAGCACGTGGTTACATAAAAAAAAGTATGAATCGGGTGCATATAATTGTTGGACCGGCAACGGAATGGAAGACAAACGAAATTACACCATACGACATATTGCATTGGCAATAGGCGAACAGCTTTACTATTCTTATTCTTATTGAACAGCATTCATTCATTACTTTATGACAGCCTCCGTGCTCTAGTGATAGTGACTGCCCGGAGAGCGGAAGGTCGGTGGTTCGATCCCCTGGCTGCGTCATACACAAGACGTTTAACGATGGTACTTGATGTTACCCTGCCTGGTAATGTGATGTATCCATGCTAAATATCTACATGGTATGTCAGTGGGCAAGCACTATTAAACCGGCAGAAGTACGGACTAGACTCGTACAAGCAGCCACTCTCACGTGAATCCACGCTATTGTATAAGTCAATAATCTTGACCGCAAAGTAAAACCCCATTTCATCTCACCTCATCTCATTTATCCGGACGATGTCATTGGGAACGGTTTGTCAAGATTAAGGAGGCTTCACTGTGTATGTCTCCTTCAACATGACAAAGGTTGAATCTATGAGTGAGTGAGTGAGTGAGTGAATGAATGCCCTTTTACGTCGCGATCAGAAACATTAAAAAATATCAGTAGTTCTTGTAGTTTTGCTGCAGAACATGATTATACCACATACGTCCCTGGTATATACTTATAATTACATATAACGCACCTTCCCAAGGCAAGGGAGTTAACCGACTCTAAAAGTTTTACAGTCAGTTAATTCACTTGCCTAGGGAAGATTCATATAACTCGGATGGGTACCATGTTTGTCCCTCGTATATACTACATATAACCGGGGTTTATACCACATGTGTCCCTGGTATATACTACACGTAACAGTGGTGTATACCACTTATGTCCCTGCTATATACTATTTATAACCGGATTTATACCACATATGTCCCTGGTTTTCACAACATGGAACAATTGTGAATGCCACATATGTCTCTGGTATATACACATGCCCCTGCTATATACAGCCGGGATGTATACGACATCTTGCTCCGGGGTATGCTATATATAACCGCGTGTACATCCCATATTGCCGTGTTTCAGCACTACCCAGAGGGAACAGTCATCAGTAGCGGGCTGTCCAAGTGGGCCAGTGCTGGGGGCTGGAGGGTAAGACTGTTTGGGTTTTTTCAGATTAAGAATAAAACATATTCAGCAACTATAATGTCTAAGAAAAGATGGTCCACCTAGGCATAGTGTGCATAGTACACACTGAACCAAAGTATATGACCACAGCATTAGGAATTGGCTCTAGTCCTATGGTCCTTGCCAAACTACCCAATAGTTAGGGTATCATAAGGACCAGTAGAAATTTGCATTTTTAAGGGTTTTGCTTTGTGTTATCCTTATAAGGACTCGTGGACTAAAAATGTTAGTTTCTACCGCTGTGACCATATATCGGTCTTTTCCGATAGTTGCACGATGCATCTTAGAGTTTATCTTTCACTTGAAGCAATGAATCACACTGCATCATTTTTACCATATGAGGCTATTTATTTTTGTTGTCAGAAATTGAGGGACATCATCAGTTGCATGTTCGTTATAAAGACAGAATGTTTGTATTCTTTTTCTTCCCAGATTGGTTATCACATATATCCATCTGAGCTCTCGTCCCTGTTGGCTGCTGTCAAGAGCGAAGCAAGCCACACCTATTCCTGTGCACCGGCGCCAATGCAGTTTGCTGCTTCAAAAGTGAGTGACGAAGTGGGGATGACGTTCCTCCACTCATATCACATCGGTGTCGCTGAAGGTGGACTTAATTCATAAACACAAGCGTTAAATTCAGGCAAACTTTGTACGTTTGACCATCGATACATGCGTTGACGGTTGTTGAAACCATTGAGACTTCTTCGTGACACTTTAAGACGGAACAGTAGCATATTTAACTAATCGTTGCACCGTTTCGCCTCCGAGACCATGCTTGCAGATTTATGTAGCACAAATCTGTTTAGGGTATTTCCTTAAAACAGACCACATACATAGGGCAGTCGTATCGTGATGACCTTTGAAACCGGGAATGTCACTTTTGTTAAATCTTACATTTTGGGGGAAGAAAATATCCATTTGGTTTTTACTTCTGATCCAACAATGAAGGAGACACGATAACTAACGGAAGAGGCATATAACAGGCGTTTATGACAGGCGTTGGTTTCAGATGTTTGGTGACCTGGCTTCCTGTGACGAGTACATCCGTCACACCTCACGGATCATGGCAGCCGTGTCCTCATTCTGTTGCAGGTGCGTGCAAAGACAAGCTTCACAATGACCGCTATTTATTGACTTAAGGATTATGTTTACATTGACCATTCACACGAGAACATGGCATCAGCAGTGTATTTACATACCTAGAGCTTTCACTCTAGAACATGGCTTCAGGATTATGTTTTACTACCAAGAGCATTCACGCTTGAACATGTGTTAATTCTGTATAAATACCTAGACCAATGCCACTTGAACATGGCTTCGGAACCATTCACACAGAGCAAACATATGTTAACTACCCCAGTAAAGCGACTTGCTCCGGACCATCTCGATTAGACAAACGCTCATATCTAGTATATTGTAAAACTGATCTAATCTCTTCACCGTCTGACCCTTCTTTATGCACCAGTGGCAGTAAGGTTTCTTTATTTGTTTGGTGTGTAATGCCGCACTCAGCAATATTCCAGCTAATATGACGGGAGGTCTGTAAATAATCGACTCTGGACCAGAAAATCAAGTGATTGACATCATGAGCATCGATCCACGCAATTGGGATACGATGACATGCATCAACCAAGTCAGTGAGCCTGACCACCCGATCCCGTTTGTCGCCTTTTACGACAAGCACAGTCGCCATTTACGGCAAGCATGGGTTGCTGAAGACCTCTACTAACCCGGATCTTCACGGGTAGACAGTTAGGGTAGGTCCTAAGTATCCTATGCTTGTCGTAAGAGGTGATGAAATGGATCGGCTTTGTAGCTTGGTGACGACCTGGGATAATATTGATAACATCCAGTTCAGACTTTTACAGGCTGCCGTATCTGGAATATTGGTGACTGTAGTGTTAAATAAAAAAAAATAACGTATCAGTTGGTTTAGTTGTGGACAGTGTTAGATGCTGGTTGCATTCATAAAAAAATCATTTGAAGCACTGCAGTTGTAATACTTGTTCAGGAATAGAGTAGAGAAGCTTGGAACACTTACAGGTTTGTGTCACCCGTGTGTCTGACCGTTTCTATGCTGTAGGGAGCTGAGGTCAGTTGGGGTGAAGATGGTGACGCCGACAGCTGGGTACTACGTGTTTCCTGACTTTGAGGTCATAAGACCGGCCTTGACATTGCGTGGTATCACCACGTGTCAGGAGATGTGTGATGCGCTGTTGAAAGAAGCATCCGTGGCGGTCAGTGCACGTGTGTGTGTGTGTGTGTGTGTGTGTGTGTGTGTGTGTGTGTGTGTGTGTGTGCGTGCGTGTGCGTGCGTGCGTGCGTGCGTTGCATGCACATATTTTTCCTGTAAAACAGAATTGATGTATTCTCACATGAACCGTGAAGATCCAGGGTACAGGTCTTCAGCAACCCATGCTTGCCGTAAAAGGCGACTATGCTTGTGGTAAGAGGCGACTAACGGGATCGGGTGGACTAGCTCGCTGACCTGGTTGATACATGTCATCGTTCCCCAATTGCGAAGGTCGATGCTCATGATGTCAATCACTGGGTTGTCTGGTCCAGAATTGATTATTTACAGACCGCCGTTATATAGCTGGAATATTACTGAGTGCGGCGTTAAACAAAAAACAAACTGTATGCTCACATAGTGTAAAACAGGGACCGAACCCCGGACCTTCCGCTTTCCAGGCGGACGCTCTACCACTTGACCACGGAGGCGGTCAGTCAAACAAAGCTGTCGTCTCAATTAGTCCAGTTTACTCCAATAAGAACACGGAAACATTGTATAGTTTTCTGAATTGATAAATGGATATAAAATAGTTGTCACGGTAAAGTGAACATAGAATGCACTTATCTTCTAGCTACATTCTTATCTTTCTGTAGAAACTGTTTAATGGTATCACTGACCTATTGTGTGCCATAGAATGTCTTTGGCCGCATGAACACTTATTTTGTGAGTTTGAATAGCGTGAACACATTACTCAAAGACTGATATCTGGTAAGATGTTCTTACTTGCGAATTCTTTTTTTTCATCGTAGTGTCCTTATGATGTCTTCCCATCCGCATCAAAGTAGTTACTATTTAGTTGCGTTACTTTTGCAGGTCATTATCATCACGAGACTTGCATTGTGTCGTTTTGAATATCAGGGTACCGTTGTACGAAACAACCTTAGCGCTACGAATTTCCTAAGTCTATGCTAAAGTATGGGAGTTACGATCACCTCAGCACTAAGATCGCTTTGTCCAACGGACCCAAGAATCAGAAATCGTTGCATGTGGAGAAACAATATTTTGCAGCTGATGGCAAGTGGTCCCGCCTATCTCCGCCCGCTGAAGGAACTGACGACCAGGTTATGCTACGTCAACTTCGACGGCACAGACGCCCTCGCCAACAGCAGAAAGCTTGGGTTAGATGCACCTCTACCAGAAGAAACCTTCGTCAAAGACTTCTGTACTTCCGTTTACGACGGAATACTGGTAAGAGACGAAAAAAAGAGGACTGTTCCTCTTAGTATATGGAACGACTCACTCATTCATAGACGCTCTTGGCATCAAATCCATGCTAAAGGTAATATTTAATAGTAATACATTACACCATCCGTTAATATATACCTTTTTCTGTGCTCAACAAAAGTAGTGTGTGGCGATTTGGGATTGTTTGTTTGTGTGTTTGTTGTATAACGCCGTACTCCAGCTATATGACGGCGATCTGCAAATAATCGAGTTTGGACCAATCATGAGTATCGATAAACGCAATATTGGGATACGATGACATACATCAACCAAGTCAGCGAGCCTGACCAATTGTTAGAAATATGCAATCCTGTTAGTGCTAATATGTCAGACTCTTATGTAAACAAAAACGTGTCTATGTGATGTCGTTCTTTGTTTCAGGCCTTAAAGAACTGGGTTTCACAACTGAAACATGTGCAAGAGTCATAACGTGTCATCACAACTTATGCTACGACCACGTGACCCACCTTACAGTGTAGTACTTTACCTTAATATGAAGTAGAAACATGAAACATGTAAATTGCTATCTGTATGCCCTTACCGATGATACTTATATCAGCTGCTCCTGAAACCCAATTTTCTAAACCTACAAATTCATTAATGGGTTTCATTGAAATCTTGTGTGGCGCTTCTGGAAGAAACACAACCATGAGAAACACACGATAGAGGTAAACTGGTGTCAATGCACTGAGACAAAAATAAAGTGTGGTCACCAAGGTAACACTTTTTACCTATGTATTCTTATATTTAAAAGCTGAATTATCTATATACCCCTACAAAAAAAACAATGTCGTTGATCACTATTGTCTTGTCAACTTTCAAACGGGTGTCTTCAGTATTTAGGCCACTGCCCCACAGTACATGTTTCCATAATTTAGTATGCACCTTGCATGCTTTGTATAGAAGCAGCTATCATTAGTTTGTACAGAACGTTTTATAAAATGATAATCCTTTAGTAATAACATCGTTTTGAATAAACATGGCATTTACAGATATAATGAGGAATTTCAAATCATCTGTACCCGTCTACTTACAATGATCCAGGTAATAATGGGAGTCTGGGCCAGGCAAACAAATGGTTGATAGCACCAGCAAGGTCCACTTCCGCCACGATATCTGAGGTCCGTACCAACCTGGAATCCACGCGTGAGTCGAAAATAGCCACGGGAACCTATCTAAGATCAAAAGCAGACGATCTAGATCTGTCGCCGACTGGTACAGACCATCTTGCAGGGAAATAAATTAATCTAGGAGTGAGTGAGTGAATATTGCTTAACGCCGCATCAGCAATTTTGCAGCTATTCCCTGCGAAAATTAATCTAGGAAGTCCAGGTGATAGCCTACAGGGACATCTACTAAGTGTTCGAAATTCTACCTTTAAACATTTGTGAAACTGGCTCGGGCTAGTGGGCTTGTGATAATTTCTATCCCTGCCTTGCCCCCCCGACATGACAGTCAAAAGTGAATTCAGATTGACATTGAGTTCTGCACCATGGCATCTTAGGAAGTTGCTATTTCTCCGCTTACTGCCTGAGTGAACTGTGTTTAAGTTCTGAATAACCTTCAGTAATATCGTGTCATCGTGAGCGAAAGGGATGCAGGTATCAGAAGCTCGGGTGTGATGCTACCAAATCTTAAAACATAAGGAGGGTGAACAAGGATTCGAACCCATGATCATTGGTTTCTGTTACGCCTATGGGACAAAACTGCACAGCGTTTTGCAGTGTCTTGGCCACTGGTACCCCCAAGCCCGACGATCGCGGCAAATCGCGCCCTAGTCTGTGAACGCCTGCAACGTCCTGCCGGTGGTTGACGAGTTTATTGGAGTGAGTATGATTTTATGCCGCTTTTAGCAATATGCCAGCAACATCACGGCGGGGGACACCAGCAATGGGCTTTACACATTGTACCCATATCGGGAATCGAACCCGGGTCTTCGGCGTGACGAGCGAACACTTGAACCACTAGGCTACCCGACCGCCCCGAGGTTATTGGAAGAAGGCCTTACATGCTGCTGCGATTTCGATGCCCAAGGCCAGGCTCCTTAAAGCCATAAAAATACAAAGAAACCTATAGAGATACATGCATACATCCCCAGGTACCTACATACATGACACTACTTTTAGGGAAAGACCTATCTCCTGCAAAATATGACTTCATAAAAGGAATTCTATGTGCGCTTACGGCTGTGAGCCGTGAATCAACTATACATATGATATGACTGGTGACCCATCAGCCTCTGTGTTGATGGGATAGAGCGTCTGCTGGAGAGCTGAAGGTCGGGTCCTTCCATTCCCTGACCGCCTCATACAAATACCTTAAAAAATGGTATTTGTTGCCTGCCTGGCGCTCGGCATTGAGGTGATAGGAATGCTCGGTTCGGTAAACTGTGTCTTAGCTGGGTGTCCATGTTAAACTTCAGCGTCCGCCTGGAGAGCGGAAAGTCCGGGGTTCGATCCTTGTTTTACACTATGTGAGCATACAGTTTGTTTGTTGTTTTACGCCGCACTCAACAATATTCCAGCTATATGAAGGAGGTCCGTAAATAATCGAATCTGGAACAGACAACCCAGTGATTAATATCATGTGCATCGATCCGCGCAATTGAGATACGATGACATGTATCAACCAAGTCAGCGAGCCTGACCACCCGATCCCGTTAGTCGCCTCTTACCACAAGCATAGTCGCCTTTTACGGCAAGCATGGGTTGCTGAAGACCTTCAGCATGGTATTTCAGTGGACTAGCTCCGTGAAACCGGATAAGTGCTGGGTAGTACAAGCAGCCAAACACACATGTGCATGCAGGTCCTATGAAGAAAGCATTGGGCCCAGAGGCAAAACTTCACCTGACTTGTGACCACAGATTGAAGTTCATTTTTACAGCACTTTGCCACCACTTTTAGCAATCTTCCAGCTAAACCATACCATATACACTAATGTGGGTAATCAAACTGTGCCTTCAGCTGACCATCTAATGATTTAACCACTAAAAATCTGTAATTTCCGAAATGTTTAATTCCATGGGAATCTTGTTCAGCATCTAATGCAAAAGCTGCCCACATGGTACACGCCAGAAAAATAAAAATTATTGAACATATTTGATGTTGTATTTGGTTGTTTATTAAAACAATTTCTATATACAATCTACATATCCAGTGGAAAGAAGTGGCCATAACCACAACCTCCTCTTCAACATGAAGTTACGTAAAGGCAATTCTTTCTTACAAATCACTTTCAATGATTACTTACATGTACATGTTTTCATATCAAGCAATAAAAATTTAATCGATTTAAAATATGTATGTATGTCACTCAATTTCAATTAAGTTATCAAATCAAGTACACATGATTAAAATGGGTAAAATCAGGGTATGAAACTCCCAAAAATTTCAGCCAGACCACAGGACTGGCTAGCTGAAATACTTGCCAGCCCTGACCAAAACCTGCCTGCCCACTATAAACATATGTTTCTCAGGATTATTTAATTAAAAACATGAAAACGGATTGCTTGTAGCATAAGCGCATCGCTAAATGTTAGGTTGTCTAAAAGCTAACTGGGTTTCTTTTTGGTTACATTTTATCATTCATCTTTACTTGTGAATTAATGCTTATCATTGGGAAATATTTAGAATATTTTCACCTATGAAATATAACCCGACCGTCGGGCAGGGGGATTTGAAAATCTGACAGCCCGAGTTGAAATCAACCCGTCTCGGACGGTCGGGCAGGCAGGTATTTCGAACGCTGGTAAAATATAAAATTGTCTTAAGTCTCTTTGTAGTGTTGGTATCCTGTTGCAAAATACTCAACATAGATATGGTGGAAATAGTTTAATGTTAGCAAGGGGGTGAGAATGAGTAACAAGAAGAGAAGAGATTTAAGAGTTGTCCCCCTTGGCAGTCATAAGAATGGAACAGAGTAAGCAAATGTAATGCCCCCCAAAGGTGTCAGTTTTAAAGGTTGGAGGAATGACCATGTATTAAGGAAAGGGGCACAATGAGCAAATTTGTAATTTGTTAACACTTTTTAAGGTAACATTCCCAACCCTCCCCTCCTCTCCCAAACCATAATAAATGGTCAGTCCTGGGCCTCACTGCAACCCAAACTGTGTGATGCAGTAATGTGTTGACTAGACTAACATCTAGTCTCTTACATGAACATATCTTACAGGAGGAAACAGTTGTTAAAGTATCTTAATAAAAATATAATAAAAAGGAGCCTAGAGACTCTTCATTTTCAGATACTGCAGTAATATAGACTTGCCATATATTATAGACTTGCATGGGCTGTGTAGGACATATTTGTATCACGGTCTGTCTGACAGATTATGTGTTGACAACAGACCTGTATTTAATGTTTCAACGGTATGACATCCATCAAAAAGAAAGAATCTCAAAGAAATACACTGGAAAACATAGACAAGAGTTAACATTTCATGCGCCAAAGTGTAAATTATATTTCAAATCATGTTCACAAAGTAAATGTCAGTTCAGCATAGTTGAGTCTGAGACAAACACACATGGTCTTGTGGCGTTCCGTATGTTGAAAACCAAGTTGAAATTAAAAATCAATTTCACAGCCATTTCACCGGACATACCAGGCACTTGATATATTACAATATAAAGAGTCGTGTGTTCACTCAAGAAGTGTGAGATCAAGTATGGAAGAAAGTCGCTAAGATCACCAGGTTTAAGTAGGAAAGCATCACCACCTAATCTACATTAAATAGGGACCTTAAAAATTCGGTTTTTGTAAAACTAGCTCATGTAAACTTTATTCCACTGGTCCTTAAGAGTTTGGAGCTAGTCCTGCTTGAATGAGACAAAAAGGTTTACTTTGACTACATATTCTGTTTTGGTCAGTTCCAATTTGTTGCAAACTTGAAGCTTTGTGAACTGGTTCAGAATTAAAGCCCCTAAATGCTGGTACCAGACAATGAGGACCACCAACATTGGAATTCACTTGTAGATGGCACAATTTAGTTGTCATGGGCCAGCAGGCTAGCATGAATTTTGAAGGCTGTTATGCTCAATGTTCTGGTGCTCGTTTGCAGTCTAGGCTTCGGAGTGTCATATGTGGAACTGGCAACAGTGTCTCAGGGTTAGTAGGGTAGTCATGAACTTCTAGACTGAGCAATACAATTGAAGCTGCAATACAATTGAAGCTGCAATACAAGCAGGGAGAGTTTGAGGGACTCAAATTCAAATTACGACTGTCAATTTATGCAAACAGATACAGTGAGAAAGGATGGTTTAACACTGCTTTGAACAGTATTTCTGTTACATCACAGCCGAGGGACACAAAGTGATGCAGGTTTTAACATTTACCATTTTGGTTAAACTCATGAGCACAGTATTGTGCTGGCAAACCTTGAAATATAATCAGGTGAAACCAGGATTCGAACCCATGATCATAGGATACTAGCATGCATAAGAGACAAAACTCTAAACAGTCAATTAAATGACTGGGCCACCCATGACCCCACATCACATAGATAATAGGTAGGAAGTTTACATCTTCAGAAAGAAAGTTAACTTATTAGTCTTCATAAACTTGAAAAGAAGTCATCGTCGTGTAACGTGTTGATATGTAGATATGTTTCCACCCATGTTAGTAAGCAAATGAAAATTATTTTCAAAACTATAATGAATAGTCAGTGGTTAATCAACACAATATAAACATGACAGATTGCCTACACAAAATTGTATATTTGTAAAAAAACAGACATCTCCTTTTCCATATGTACCCTGTCTACACCTGCAAAACATTTTCACATGTCTGTAGACTAGAATGCTATGTGTAAATACCTTGGTTACAAAACCGGTTGCTAGGAGAGCAGAGCAAATAATCACTGACTGACACATAGGCAAATAAATCACACACAACACACACACATATATATATATACATGTATATACATATATATAGAAAGAGGTGTTCTATGTATACATATATACATAAACAAAGGACACACTACAAAATAAACAACCACCAAATACACTTGGGAAAAAACCAACAGCAATGGACAGGTGAGTATTCTCAAACAATACTTGTCGATGTTCCATGAAAATAACTTACATTCCAAACTCAAACAATACCTTAACAGTCTGACACCTACTTACCATAGTTACACCAATAAATGGAGCCTCCTCCTGTCTACCACTTTTACATCGCTATCAATTCGTGTTTGTTTCAACAAACTTCCATACTTTCAGTGCTTAACGAAATGTAAGTAACTTAAAGAACTCTTATTTCAAGAAAATACTCTTCTTGCAAGTACCAGTTACATGCATTTGGCAGTGCAAGATGAATGTCACCACGGATAGACTGGTTATTTTGATGACTGATCAGAGCCTTCTAACAACTCCCACAGGTGTGGAAATCGAATTTAAACTGAGAATCGTACTTTACTCTGCAATATAAGTGTTAATCTACACATGCGCTCCAATTACTTTATCAGATATACTGGCAAGGAGTCTGGACTTCTTGAAAATGCTGTCACCATTTTTAAACGATGTGATTGTGTTCACTACGTTCTTCCATAAGCTGTGAATAAATATGCCCAATGTGCAGCGTAGAAGTGACACATCGAGACTAGTTCAGTAATGGATGTCAAATAAGCAACTGAATGCTAATTCTGCGGAGTCTGATATTAAAACAATGCGTGGAGCAGACGTCTGCAGAGCTGTAGCGTGTTGCATGAGAAATATTTTCATTTGTGCCATGTAATCTGAACTCTCATTGGTCTGGGCACTAGTTGGTGTCCTTCTTGCAGTAACATGGATAAAAATGGTGACTACACTGCCACACTACAATGCCACATATATTCACAGATGGACAAATGTTGTGTATACAATCCTGTAAACTTTGACTGACAATGATAGAGCACTGCTCCAGTGTATGAAACACCATGTGAGTGAGATCTGGTTGATCTACAGAACCTGACACAATCATAAAAAGCTCATCTACCTACCCACCATATGGAACACTTTTAGAGAACAAAGAGCCTATTTTAACTCTGGACTCTGAAACATTTAACTTCAGTGTTACAATCACAGGGATAAGACGAGGAAACTAGAAAAGTGCCGAGATGTACACATCTATACAAGGACTGATTACAGATATCCACTGTATTGCCATCATTCTATGTTCTTAAATATTCCATTTCTCGTCCACACTGATACATGCAATATTGTTTGTGAGTTTGTATCAGATACAAGCCTTGTACATCTCTTCCATCAATCCTTTATTGTATCATCTTTTGTATTATTCCTTGTATCATACTTGTATCATACATGTATCCCACAGCAACCTACTATGACAACAACATGACAATCTCATTAAAAACAGATCTTTAGTTTTCACTGCTGCTAAACAAAGATCTGAGGACATCCCTTTAAAGGATCACGTCAGAACAATGTTTTGGGAACTTTGACCGACCACTGAAATGACTAACAAGAAGCCGACACCAGCCAATTTAGGAAGCAGATTTCTCGAGCTTTACAGCACTTATTTCAACCTGGCGACTTCCATTTCGGACTATGCTTGAAAAATATGTTGACACAGTTCTCGATTAAAATTTTGAAAACTGAACAAATGAGCATTCCGAAATGTCCAATATATGGTTGAGATTGTATGGCAGTGGTTCCCACTTACTGTGCAATGCCTCCTCCGTTCAAATGTTAATCGCACGGTAGCGAGAGATAGACGATAATTTTGACGGAATCAGTCGTATGGGGCGTAACTGTCGTTCGGAATACACTGAGGTTGCATGATTAGAAAACACATTCTGACTGTCACTTTCATGATCTGTTAATCGACGCTTTGATTTGTCAGATGAAAGGTAGCGAGAACTAAGATCTTATTTTAATGAGATTGGCGAGAACTAAGATCTGATTTCAATGAGATTGACAACATGAAAGTCCATTGGTATGTACCGTTATGCTAAATCCTTAGATATTTCAGATTTTAACCTGATCAACAACAACCAGCCACACCAAACTGGGAATAAAGGCATAACTTATGTACATCATTATTAACAGACATGGTTGAAAATATATACTGACAGGAGTCACTCCAAAAACTATCCTCCGGAATCTTGCGATACAATTACGCTTTTCAGATATACAATAACAATCGAACAATTGACAGTTCTCTGTTAACCCATGAATACTCTATGAAAAACAACCACACAACCACGAATATACATGAAGCAACAATTCTTTGTGCATAGGTAATATTTTCCGCTTTCATCAACTTTGATTCACCTCCCTACTGCTGTCCCACCAGGCTGGTAGCGGTGTCATGATTCATCTTATTATCATTTCAATTCCATATTTCGACCAGACCAATTATTAATGTTGTACACATATACAATTATCCCTTAATTTAGCAAAGGTTGTGATTAGAAATTGTGACACGGCACTGTAGCTCACCTGGACATGTAGTCAACAGTCTAAAAAGCCACAAAGAAAATTGCCGTCAGTATTGATATCCAAATATGTTCTGCATCATTACTGAGAACTAAAAACTGACACTTAAATGCAATGATTTGAACAAAATGTCCTCGTAAGGAGAAACAAGATGAGTTCAGCTTGTACAGTCTGCCAATTTCAGAGAAGAGGTATTTAGAGTCAAATAAGTCTTTGGGAGAATTTAAGAGCATGGTCAAGTGAGGATGATTTTACGCCACTTTTAGCAACATTCCAGCAATATCACGGTGGGGGGACACCAGAAATGGGCTTCACACATTGTACCCATGTGGGGAATCAAACCCGGGTCTTCAGCTTAACGAGTGAATGCTTTAACCACTACCCAACCACCCCAAAAGAACAAGGTCAAAATAAAAATACTACCATAAAGGGGAACATGTTTGTTGAGTGCCACTACTAATCACACATGTTGCAAATTTCATCCATTTTCAACAAAAATAACTGAGTAACAGCAATAATTAGCTTTTCCAATATGGCTGCTGAGGTTGCCCTGTTGAGGCGGCCATATAGAAAAATCAGATATGAGCATGGTCAAATTAAGCAGGAGAATGGACGACGGACAAACAGGCCACAACATATCCATATCAATGAATAAACACAATCAAAAAGTGTGGTCAGGCTTTAGTCCACAATAAAATGTATGTTTATAGAGAATATTGTGATTTTGAATATGTGTCAGATAATCACTGATATGATTTTCTTATGGTAATACCATATCAAAGACACTCGTTATTCAAAATGAAATGTGCTCTTGTACATGTGGCACAGTTTACACCAACATTAACTTTTTGAGTCAATTTTCCTTGTGACACATTAAAATATGCTTCAACTCTGTCAATTAACAAACAGATAATTTTCCATATATACTACTCAAAAGAAGTTCTTTCATGTTTGTATAATTAATCTGTCAGGGCATTGTATATTAACCGTGGTAATATGAAAGAATTAGATGTCCTTAACTTCTTTTGGGTAGTATAGTAAGTACGTGGGCAACAATGCTGCTTTCTGAATCATGACTCGGCTACTTCACCAGTGATGTAAACAAAAGCATCAATGAGCTGAACCATCGTATAAACATCTTCATAACAAAATAAATATATAATTCAATATTACAGCTGCAACTGAATATACTGGTATAAGGAGCACAATCAGGATAATCTACAACAGACCTCTTAACCAATGGTTTGGTTCATTTGTAAATATTATGCACACAAATATTACGTTCTGATTTAAGGATTTTTGTAACTGGTAGAATACAGTGTGCAGAACTTGAGCAGTTGATTTATTTAATTATTGCCATCTGGTGTACCAGTTTGTGTACCAGCAGGGGAGATAACTCCTCACTTTCCATCTATGACTTTCAACATTTACACTGGAAGGATGTGTGATAAATTAATCCTGGGATGCAATGTTAACACATCTGTTGGTAGAACAAGCTCATAACAGCAACACACATCGCAAAGGGCCCTGAGGAATTATGGGTAACATAAGTTGTCATAGCAACAGTAACATCATTCCCGGGGACTGATTTGACTGTGTGACAAGCTTAAAACAGCAACACTGATTTCATATGCTTCAAGGCAAGACACGCTCACTGATACATAAATCACATTACTAAGCATAATCTTCGTCTGTCAACAACTTCTAAAGCATCTGAGAAACTAGGGCTGGGACGGGTAACTCGGGTACTGAGTAGGACGTGGGTACCCACACGACTACCTGGAATCGTGGTTAGTCACGCGACAGATATTGTTTAATGATAAAAATTATCTAGAACCCCAAGTCACTAATGTGTGTATTTCTTTGACTATGCACCCATTTCTGAATACAGATAAAACTTCAGTCAACTTAAGTGTATCGTTTTATAAGTGTACATCTAACTACATTTTTCAAGGGCTACAGTCAAACTATTCTCAATCAAACATTTTGTACCCATCTCTTGAAACCTACAGCAGATAGCAGGGTAGGGTTGGGTGATAGGGGGTTGGGTACCCATGATAAATTTGGACTCATCCCCGCCCTAAGAGAAACCGAATCAGAAAATCAGATACTTGGACTCATGTATATAAAACAGCTCCTTATCTCTGGCCTTTTGTAGTCGGTCTAGATGATCATGGATACCATGATGATAGATAATAGTATTACTGATAGATATTATCATAATACTGTGGAAAACACTGTGTTTGTACTAGGATCTGGGAATAAATACTATCGGTGTCGACATAATCATCAGAGTGGAAGAACATGTCCATCCCCAACCTTAAAAGTTTGTTATAAAGCTGTCAATAAACCATGAAGTGCTCAAGCGCTGCAGGTACAATTCAATATCCATCAATCAGGTAAATAATGTCAAGTTCTGAGCAAGCTGACAAGTTTCAAATATTTCAGCACTTTGAAACGAGACTGGAACTTTAAGACATCAGCTGGTACTGGTGGCTTTCTGCCACCAGGCTAACTCACTGTTACCAATACCTGCGACACTACCAATACCACCCTTCCCCCCTGAAAGCACATTAAGTGAGTGAGTGAGTGAGTGAGTGAGTGAGTGAGTATGGTTTTACACCAGAAATGGGCTTCACACATTGTACCAATGAAACTAGGACCCTTCAGCATGACAAGTGAAAGCTTAAAGCACTCTGCTACCCCACCACCCCTCATCCCACGACTAGTAGCTACTTGTATTATGACAATCACTTTTACTGGGACTGCCATGCTATAACTATTATGCCAAATGTCACAAGAATTAAATACACTCCTGAAAAAAGGTACAAAACAGAGTTCATGACACTACCATTTCAAAAAGCAGCTTAAGAACGAGATTGATATTTTTACACCAGTTTGAACAATATTTCAATTATCACAGCTTAACTTGAGGCAAATCTAAGTCACACAGGTACCTCAGCATAGGAAACCAAAGGAATGGGAATTTAGAGAGAAAAAAACATAATTTGTGTGAACCTAGGTCTCCAACCCACAACCAGGGATCCTGGTACGGCTAGGGGATGCATTCTGGGCCACCTTGAGAAGGCACACTGACGCACACTGCTCAACCAAATTTGATGCAAATCTGATACAAGTTTCATTAATTTCTTACAAAAATTAAAAACGAGTACTTTATCGTACCCTAATCTATTGTATTACGAGGGCCTGCTCTTCAGTTAATACTGCGAGGACAGTTAACTATGGAAAACAACTGGATTACCCTGTTGAAACAAAGCCAGTTCTGACCACACAGATATAAATATTCATTCTGTGCAACAAAAATCTTTAGCAATACGTTTGTCCAAAAGGATCTCATTGAACATTGGTAACATGGGAAAATGAATGAGTTTGAACACATTCCTAACAACCTGTTGTGCAGTAATGTTGACAATATCTAGGAATCATCATTACTGAGTCTATGTCAGGGTACACACATTTACACATATCTAGGGATAGACACCATGAGTTAATCCATTCTAGATTGATGAGCATGTCACGTAACTACATTTTTGGAGAAAACTGCTCGTGTCACAGTTTTATACCAGTCTCGACCTAGCAGCCATGCTCAACACTCAACATTCATCGTCTGTACCATACATACTTTACATAGTGCTGAACTTAGCACCTAATTTGGGCCAGTTGATGCAGTTACACAAGATTTAGGGAAGACAAGATATTTGACAATGTCTCCTTGCTGTTTGTAGCTGGTGTAGGAACAGTTTCTGTTGGTGAGCTCTGTGGCGCTCTCTGGAGAAGCTTGCACTGTTAAGAGCTTCTACTGGCTGGCACTGTTAGGAGCTCTTGTTGCTTGAGCTGGTGTGGCAACTAGCTGGCACTGTCAAGAGCTCGTGTTGCAACTGCTGGCCCTGTTAAGAGTTTGTGTTGTAACTAGCTAGCACTGTTAAAAGCTTGTGTTGCATGAGCTGGTGTGGCAACTAGCTGGCACTATCAAGAGCATGTGTTGCAAGTGCTGGCCCTGTTAAGAGTTTGTGTTACAACAAGCTAGCACTGTTAGGAGCTTCTGCTTCAACTACCTGGCACTGTTAGAAGCTTCTGTTTCAAATACCTGGCACAGTTTGGAGTTGCAATTAACTGGCAATGTGAGGAGCTGATTTTTATGCTTGCTGCCAATGTGAGATATCTGGCACTGTCAGGAGCTGGTGTTTGCGCACTGATAAAAACGTGATGCTGAAAAATGCAAAAGTTGGCTGTTGGTGCTGTCTGGAGCTGGTGCACAGACCTGGTCACCGTCCTTCTACACTGTGTCCCTGCAGGATTTCCCCAGTACCATGTACTCAATCCAGTGAGAGACCCTCTGCTAGCATATTCAAGGTAGAAAGGCAAGACTATTATCACAGATTCAGTACGGTATAGATAGACTTCACTGTTTGTACCTCTTGGGTGCTGTTGGCGCGTTTAGATGACTTGTGACATGAGATGGGGATCTAACTCATTGGACGTTTGAGGCCATCACACACAACTACCTGTTGTCACTCAACTGCAAACTGGCAACCAGGGCACATACATAAGATCCTATCGTAACAAACCGTCACCACTTCATTCTGCAGCTGTGGTGCGGAATTTGGGCAAACATAGTCCAAATTGTGACTCGATACCCTGGAAAGTAGCGTGCGCCAGTCGGTATCCTCCTATGTGATCCGGATTACGAGACATTAATTCCTCTAAGTGGACTGACTTGGCTTCTGAGCCCTCTGGACGCCTGAAACAAAGACACATTAGCATTAGCTGCTGTTTGTTTGTTGTTTAATGCCACACTCAGCAATATTCCAGCTGTATGACGGCAGTCTGAAAATTACAAAATCTGGATCAGACTATCCAGTGATTGACATCATGAGCATCGATCTATGCTTTGTTTGTTTGTTCGTTGTTTAACGCCATACTCAGCTATATTCCAGCTCTATGACGGCAGTCTGTAAATAATCAAGTCTTGACCAGACAATCCAGTGATTGACATCATGAGCATCAATCCACGCAATTGGGATCGATGACATGCATCAAACCAAGTCAGCGAGTCTGACAACCTGATCCCGTTAGTCGCCTCTTACGACAAGCATGTGCTGCTGGTGACAAATTCTGTCTTCACTGGTACTACAGCTTCTAAATACCACTTAAAGACAGAACCTAAGAGATAACGGATTACCTTCCACCAAAGTCGATATAGAATACACGTTGCAGCAGTTCATATGTCAGCAGTGTCACACCAAACTGAGGCGAGGACCGGAACACTCGGGCTGAAACACAAGTCGGCACATTGAGAAGATCGGCAGTAATGAGACATATATTTGGTTTTGTGCTCACTGTTGGTGCGTCTTACAATGGGCCACCATGGGAAGATTTCCACAACAACCAACAAGTATATGACTGTTCACCGCTTAACTAACACTGTTAGAATTTGGAGTAGTTTTCTAATTTTGATATGGCAACATCTGCTTTTCATATCTGTTTGAAGGCGTGATATTCTGAACAATAATGGGCATATACCAGTAGATGAATAAGAGAATGGAATGTTTTACAGTGAGAAAGCTGCCAAATTGATCCAAGACTAAACAGCCTTTTAAATTTTGTAGCCATATATACATAAGAATCTCAAATGGTTGAATTAATAACATAACCAGAAATAGTAATTACACAAAATTAATAGATAATCATTTTCTGAATGACAAAATGTTTTTATTGTTAATATGATGTCATTTTGATGTTTTAGTTAAATGTTTTCATTATATTCAGTTTTACTCTGCATTATCTAAATTATCAAATAGTTCTATCAATGCCATAATATTTACATACTTTTTATTAATATTTAATTATCCCCTACCATGCAATTGGGATCGATGACATGCATTAACCAAGTCAGCAAGCCTAACCACCCGATCCAGTTAGTCTTTCACAAGCATAGTCGCCTGTTACGGCAAGCATGGGTTGCTGAAGACTTATTCTACCCCGGATCTTCACGGGTATAATGAATTAACACCCCTACCTGGTGCCCCCTTCCAGAAAGCCCCCCAGCCCTCCTCCAGGTAGATCTTGCGGGCGCAGTCTATGACACCATTGTATGTTGTCTGGCCCGATCGTGCTGCCACCTGAAGGCGTGTCTTGATCACATCAGCAGGTGTCGGTAAAAATGCAGCAGGCATACCTTTGGAAAGACAGCACAGTAAGCCATAAGCATTATACAAAGCTTGACCATTAGGTCTCAGAAATATCACAGCATTATAACAGTCTGTCTCGCCATCAGAAATACATTCCTGTTATCAGTCGATAAATTGAACGAAGCACATACATATAATTGATTATCTTTGTCTGTTTGCACTCAGCATTATTACAGGCATTAGAGATGGTCTGTAAATAATCAAATCTGGATCAGAAACTTCTTCCCGAGGCAAGGGAGTTAACTGATTGTTAAAGTCCATTTTCCAACCTTGCGGAATTAGGCTTATGCTTTGTCCCATCAAAATCAAGTATGAATGTATCAGCAAGATCAGGGGTTGTCTGCCATGCAAAATAATCTTAAGAACCTAAAATGAATTCTCTGGCCAAAAGTGTGGTCCAAGTCTATGTCCTGTCATGAAAATATATAAAGTGTATAGGGAACATGTAGAAAGTAAGTTACATCATACAGTAGCTTAGTGTGATCAGATACTCAGTTCACATCAGACATATCAGACAGGCATCAACCATACAGCACACCTGCACTCAAGGTGTGACAACACACCTGTACTCAAGGTGAGACAACAGGCATCAACCATACAGCACACCTGTACTCAAGGTGTGACAACAGCCTCCAACCATACAGCACACCTGTACTCAAGGTGTGACAACAGCCATCAACCATACAGCACACCTGTACTCAAGGTGTGACAACACACCTGTACTCAAGGTGTGACAACAGCCAACAGCCATCAACCATACAGCACACCTGCACTCCAGGTGAGACAACAGGCATCAACCATACAGCACACCTGCACTCAAGGTGAGACAGCACACCTGTACTCAAGGTGAGACAGCACACCTGTACTCAAGGTGAGACAGCACACCTGTACTCAAGGTGAGACAACAGGCATCAACCATACAGCACACCTGTACTCAAGGTGAGACAGCACACCTGTACTCAAGGTGAGACAGCACACCTGTACTCAAGGTGTGACAACAGCCATCAACCATACAGCACACCTGTACTCAAGGTGAGACAGCACACCTGTACTCAAGGTGAGACAGCACACCTGTACTCAAGGTGAGACAACAGGCATCAACCATACAGCACACCTGTACTCGGGGTGAGACAGCACACCTGTACTCAAGGTGAGACAGCACATCTGTACTCAAGGTGTGACAACAGCCATCAACCATACAGCACACCTGTACTCAAGGTGTGACAGCACACCTGTACTCAAGGTGTGACAACAGCCAACAGCCATCAACCATACAGCACACCTGCACTCAAGGTGAGACAACAGGCATCAACCATACAGCACACCTGCACTCAAGGTGAGACAGCACACCTGTACCCAAGGTGAGACAACAGGCATCAACCATACAGCACACCTGCACTCAAGATGAGACAACAGGCATCAACCATACAACACACCTGTACTCAAGGTGAGACAACAGGCATCAACCATACAGCACACCTGTACTCAAGGTGAGACAACAGGCATCAACCATACAACACACCTGTACTCAAGGTGAGACAACAGGCATCAACCATACAACACACCTGTACTCAAGGTGAGACAACAGCCATCAACCATACAGCACACCTGTACTCAAGGTGAGACAACAGGTATCAACCATACAACACACCTGCACTCAAGGTGAGACAACAGGCATCAACCATACAGCACACCTGCACTCAAGGTGTGACAACAGGCGTCAACCATACAGCACACCTGTATCAAGGTGTGACAACAAGCATCAACCATACAACACACCAGTACTCAAGGTGAGACAGCACACCTGTACTCAAGGTGAGACAACAGGCATCAACCATACAGCACACCTGCACTCAAGGTGTGACAACAGGCGTCAACCATACAGCACACCTGTACTCAAGGTGTGACAACAGGCGTCAACCATACAGCACACCTGTACTCAAGGTGTGACAACAGGCATCAACCATACAGCACACCTGCACTCAAGGTGAGACAACAGGCATCAACCATACAGCACACCTGCACTCAAGGTGAGACAGCACACCTGTACTCAAGGTGAGACAACAGCCTTCAACCATACATCGCACCTGTACTCAAGGTGTGACAACAGGTATCAACCATACAGCACACCTGTACTCAAGGTGTGACAACAGGCATCAACCATACATCACACCTGTACTCAAGGTGAGACAACAGGCATCAACCACACACTACACCTGTACTCAAGGTGTCATCTGCAACATCAGTAAGAATATTGACCTACCAGCAATGGTGGCTGACAACAGTAGTGTGCCAGGGGTGTTGTAGCCATTCTCGTCTGCGAAGTATTTCTTGACATGAGCGTATGCGGGGAAGTAGATGGCTGAGAAGGGAATGTCACGGAGGAAGCAGGCCTTGGCTCCCTGGAAACAGGAGTGACTAGATTGTAGACCTAGATCTCAGTTATATCCTGGCATATTTGGTCAGAACAGTGAGTTGTGCTTAAAGCTGCTTTAAACAGTCTGGAGAGATGCAGGTCTCAGGCAATTACCACCTTCGTGGGAAGGCAGGTACGTTGCTTCCAATGAGAAACACAATCAGGGGGCCCCTGGGACACAACTCTGCACAGCTTAAAGACTGGGCTGCTCATGGTCCCCTCATGTCTGAAGTGACACAGGTTGCAGATGGCGACATTAGTGAAACCTGCATACATAGTAGGTGTGTTGCTGACAACATAGTCAGGTCAAAGCAGAGGTCATGCCACTCAGGAAAGCCTTTAGTCAGAGGGTATTAGTGAGTGAGTGAGTATGGTTTTAGGCTGCTTTTAGCAATATTCCAGCAATATCAAGGAGGGGGACACCAGAAATGGGCTTCGCACATTGTACCCATGTCGGTAAAACCCGGGTCTTCGGGGGTCGGGTATTAAAAGGGGGGGCGCGCGCCACAACTGCTGCCCTTGTAATCATGAAGTTGATTATTGATCATGCTAAAAATCATGATTTGTTTGTTGTTTAACACCGCACTCAGCAATATTCCAGCTATATGACGGCGGTCTGTAAACAAAGGGGTGTGGACCAGACTATCCAGTGATTGACATCATGACATGCATCAACCATAAAGTTGATTACGATTGTTACATGATCAATGATCAATTTCATGATAACGATTGTAACATGATCAACTTCATGATTTCGAATGTAACATGATCAATGATCAACTTCATGATTACGATTGTAACATCAACTTCATGATTACTGTATATCGCTGTGTATAAAGCGACCCCATGTATAAGACGACCCCCCAGTACATGCCTTTAAAATCAACCCAAAAACAGATGCATATCAGGCTTCTTAAAGGTACTCAGAGATCACTTTCCCCTGGTAGAACAGCTAAGGGCAGAAGACCCAGGCAAATACCCCTCAAGAAACATGTATCTTGAAGAATCTCATCACATATTAAGGGTTTATCACTTTTGGTTAAGATTCCCCGAATCGATGATATTACACGACAGATTCAGCTTATCAGCCCTAAAACACTCGTGCAGCCTTAAAATTTACAATGTGTAACCAAATTTCAGCACTATAAAATGCCTGCTTCACTGGGATCAGACAAGGTCAGTGGGAGTCAACACTAGGACTCTCCATGGCTGATCTCGGAGAACGACTCTTACCTTGTACAGGCCAAAGAAGCCAAGATCCCTTACGACGCTGATTGCGCCGACCTTCGTCTTCCCAACAATTTCCCCAGCTACTTGGAGACGGATTTTGACAATTTCCAGAGGGTTTGTGAAGACTACCTGCGACCCACCAGCCTGAAAACAGTAAGCAGTATACAGTGACAGTGGTAGTGGCAATATTCCACAATACAGTGAGAGCACACACATTCAGCATCCAGTTTTTATAATTAAGCATAAAACTCAAGGGGCCCTTGTCATAACCCTAATGTTGAACGTTAGAGGTTGAGAGTCCCTAGATTCAAATAATATAGGAACGACCTCATGGATCACAGGATCCACCATAATTTCAAACACTGGTATCATTAATGAGTGAGTGAGTGAGTATGGGTTTCATCGCTTTTAGCAATATTCCAGTAATATCACGGCGGGGGACACCAGAAATGGGCTTCACACATTGTACCCATGTCGGGAATCGAACCAGGTCTTCGGCGTGACGAGCGAACGGTTTAACCACTAGGCTACCCGACCGCCCCGTATCATTAATGAACAATGTCCAAATTACAACATAGCTACAAAGTAGAATTTCTCTTTGTCATGGTTCATACAGATATGGAACACTAAAATTCAAGGCATTGTCAAGGCAAATAATAATAGAAGTAGCCATGGCAACAAAATGTGATATGGGAGCTACTTACACATCCTCCTGCCACCATCTCCGCCCATAGTTCAATGCTGCCATCAGACTTTGTCAACTTGTCTCGCATCAAGTCATTCATCTACAACAAGCAATACAGCATGTTGATAAACATTGTCACCAGTACAGACGAAGCAGCAGTTATCTTCACAATACAGTGGAAAACAAATAGTTCACAGTAAATCTTGCAAGTAAAATTGAGATTATAATAATTGTAACATGTTATCCTTTATATTTAATCATGCAAAGATTTCCAATATTAGCACTGTTGACGAAACATATGCATGCTTCATTCAGCAAACATTTTTTTTAGGTCTTTTCAATGCTGTACCAGCTCCAATATGTTAGTGAGTGAGTTTGGTTTAACGCCGCTTTTAACAGTATTCCAGTGATATCGCGGCGTGTCAGCTTAATGTGGGAGGAAAGCCCGAAGTGATGCAGGTCTCAGACGTTTACCACTTCGGTGAAACCCACGAGCACGGGTATGGTGCTGACAAACCTAGAAACATAATCGGGGCGAACCGGGATTCGAAACCCACAATCAACCCTGCGCAGCGAATCGCGGCGCCTTAAGACGACTGGGCCACCCGTGCCCCCTCCAGTATGTTAAAACATTGGGACAACTGGCCTCTGTTGGATGGCTGTGTGTCATTCCTGCCAAACAACAACAGAAATATACGACATTCATCCCGGTTGAATGGGAGCTTAATTTCACGTGTTTCTTGAACTGAATTATATAAGGGTCATATTTTTCTTCACCTTGCCCATGGATATTGTTTTTGTCCTTTCTCAAATTGTATAAATATAGCGCAAGATTTTACATACAGTGTTGAGTTCCCACCCAGTTCAGTAGAGGACACGACCCGTGAAGATCCGGGGTAGAATAGGTCTTCATCAGCCCATTCTTACCGTAAAAGGCAACTATGCTTGTCGTAAGAGGCGACTAATGGGATCGGGTGGTCAGGCTGGCTGACTTGGTTGATACATGTCATCGTATCCCAACTGCGTAGATCAGTGCTCATGATGTCAGTCGCTGTATTGTCTGGTCCAGATTTATTTATAGACCGCTGTCATATAGCTTGAATATTGCTGAGTGCGGCGTTAAAAACAAACAAACAGTAGAGGACATGCAGGAATAACCCATGGGAAAGGTGTTTGATGCGGCACTCAGCAATATTCACTCTATTCAATGGGGGCCTGCAAATAACTGAGTATGGACCAGGCAAACCAGTGATTGATATTATTAGTAAAGTCCAATACCGTCTGTGTATGACGAAACAAAATTAACCAAGTCATATACCCTGACCAATCCATCAACATGATCAAGCAGCATCTTATGACCAGCATAGGTTGCTGTGGACCTATTCTAACCGTGATTCCCCTCATGGGTTGAGTGGTGTTGATAAGCGGGACAGGATAATTGAATAATTACAATTTTTTAAAAATAGTTTTGACCAGGGACCAATGGTAAGGCAGGTGGCATAAACAATGTTTCCAACTCACTGTAAGTTTGATGGCCTTCTCCGGAGCCACGCCCACAAGTTGAGGTGCGAGACCTCGATAGAGACCCAGCAGACCTTCATGCCGGATGACCTTCTTGGCACAGTCGAAGCTGTTCTTGTACATCAGCTCACCCACAAACGTTCCTGACCTCTGATTCTGCATTCGGGTTTTCACCAGATCGATGGGATAAACAGCAGTGGCTCCCGTAGCTGTGAGCAAGAGAAACACTGTCTGATTGTCTGTTCAACAATGGAGTTGGCAGTCTGTAAATAATGACTATTTGTTTGTTGTTTTACCTGCACGCAGCATTATTTCAGCTTTATGACATCAGCTGAGTTTGCATTATCATCATTGACTTGATAATCCACAGATACGTCAGAAACTATCTTGTTGAGGGATACACTCGGCATAAGTAGTAAGAAGTAAGCCTGATGACATCACTCATGATTGTTATGTGACATATAAATGCTCCACCAACAACTGAAAATTATGCACTGATTTGATGCTAAAATGGCGCAATTTAGAGTATGTCAGAGACAGATTACACAAGGTGCTGCCATACCATTTATCTTACAACTTTTAAGATAAATGGAATATCACAGCCTCCCGTATAGTAATCTCTTAATCACAACCAATTATTGATGAACAGGCCTCAATGTTGCGACTAAAACGGTGGCCAATGCGACCTAAATTTCAATTTGTCTACTCTCTAAAATTCAGAGGTAGCCAAATGACTAACTTCAAAAATATCTTGTGGCGACTAAATTCTATTGCTACACACATATGTAGACACAAATATAAACATGTCTGCTACTGATTGTACTTGCAAATAATTCCTCCTAAAGTCAACAATGAACCGAAATGTATAAATATTAATGTAATTTTCGTATTTTATTATAGTTGATAGTTTATTGGATAAGCAAGAATATGCCTATATAATCTAGTAACATAAATTGCATCATTGTTCGAGTCACAATAAATAAAACTGAAGTACAGCATGTACAGTTTCCACTAATATACAATTCCAAGACTAGTGATATGACTTGTACATATAATAGTTATTTGATAAAGAATAATTTCAAATGTTTTCGGCTACCTACAATATTGGCTTGACTTCTTGATTTTACCACTGGTTACCTGGAAAAAAATAGTTGTAGCCATATGGCTACTTGGTAAAAATTTAAACTTTGAGGCCTGATGATCATATCCCAGCTCTTCCCAACACATCAGTACTCCAGCCTACCCCAAGGCAAGACACCCTAGTCAGCCTCACCTCCAGCGATGGCACCAAGGAAGAACCTATAGGCACTTTCAAGCACTGCTGATGTTACTGTTCTTGTGGCTGTTCCTTGCTCCTGACGAAGTTTTTGCTGAAAATATAACACCATGGCACTATAGCTCACCTGGGTATGTCACCAACAGTTGTGATGTCAACAAAGATGGACACTTGACGAAAGTTGCTGTCAACATTGACATTCAAATATCTCCTTCAAAATTACAGAGAACTGAAAAAGTATTTTGAGAGAATGTAAGAGCAAAATCAAAGTGTAAAAGGTCAAATCAAGGTCAATTTTTTTAACCATAACGAAAATTGGAACATGAATGAGTGAGTGAGTGAGTATGGTGTTACACAGTTTTTAGCAATATTCCAGCAATATCACGGCAGGGGACACCAGAAATGGGCTTCACGCATTGTACCCATATTGGGTATCGAACCTGGGTCATCAGTGTGACGAGCGAACACTTCAACCACTAGGCTACCCGACCGCCCTGGAACACCCATGATGTAATGTGTCGACCAACTACACATATACCAAAATATATTACCTTTTGAGCAAATGGCTGGATAATGGCCATAAATAGGTTTTCGAATATGATTGTCATGGTGGCCATGTTAAAAAATCAGATTCAATGGCAAGATAATAGTAATAAAGAGGTTTTTCAATATTGCACTATGGTCATTATCAGTGAGATGAAACAAGTAACCTTAACTTCATTGATCTATGGTTTCTGAGGAGTGCAAGAAAATGCATTTTGAGAGATTTTTAACCAACACATAAGTACCAAACTTCAATACACTTTGAACAAAAATGGCTTAATAATGGGGCTTAATAATAGGCATAAAGTTTTTTTCAAGATGTTTGTCATGGAGGCCATATTGACAATCTAGATATCTACAGCGGGTATCCGGGTAGGGTCGGGTAATAGGGTGATGTGTACCCGGGTAGTAAATTTGGATTGCCATTGTATCTATATTGACAATTGGATAAAAAATTCTCAGACAGATAAGTGTCATCCTTGGTGGGAAGAGCATGCTTAGTTTTCAAAGGTGCATTGGTTTTGGAGAAGAAGATGTTTACAGACGATACACGAAGCACACCACACGACGCACCTTCGGGTGGAACATCTAAAAACAAACAGAAGTATGTTTTTTTTGGGGGGGGTCTTTAAGCAATCTTGCATTGAATCCATGTGGGGAATCAACTGAGGATCTTTTGCAAACACTTAACTGATGGGACTATCAAGAAAAGACTTTCAATGTTATGATACTGTACCTTCAATGCAGTACTTCGGGATGAGTGGGTGAGTGGGTGAGTGGGTGAGTGGGTGAGTGGGTGAGTGGGTGAGTGGGTGAGTATGGTTTTAAGCCACTTTTAGCAATATTCCAGCCATAGCATGGTAGGCAGGGGCACCAGAAATGGTCTTCACACATTGTACCCATGTTGGGAATCAAACCCGGGGCCTCGGCATGAAGAGCAAATGCTTTAACCACCATCCTACCCGACCGTACCTCTTCGGGATGATCGCAATGCTACGCAAATTGTCCTCATTAAGCATCCAAATGTTCGTCATGAACGAATGTTACTTTTCACCGCAATCAGAATACATTTCAGTTTTATCATGGTTGCACTTGCAACGAACCATGAAAATGACACATACTCAGCTGGGTTACACAATGTAACTTCCCCCCCCCCATCCTCACCAGCTGGCTTTAAGGACAAGCATGCCTCAGAATCCTGTGTGGGTAGTTGCTTATGCTCATGACATGACAGTGGTGTGACTCCCTACCTCAGCTATCTGCATCTGGATGGAGAAGGGACTCTCCACACCCGCCATTGGGTTGAAAATCTCCAGGTCCGACAGCTTCACCTTTCTACAGAACAGATCAACTTGTGTTAATGATGTGATTAATCATATAAATAGGAGCAAAGGGGGATGGATGTGACGCAACAGTCCTATTGAAAATCAGAAAAACCTCGAACAAATTTGAGTGTCATCATTGGTGGGAACAATCATGTGAAGTTTCAGCTTCAATGCTTTACTGGATTCTAAAGAGATGTGTTTGATTTTACGACGCTTTTAGCAATATTCCAGCAATATCACGGCTGGGGACACCAGAAATGGGCTTCACACATATTATCAATGTCGGGAAACGAACTGGGCAAACGCTTTAACCACTAGGCTACCCGACCGCCCCTCTGAGGAGATGATGTTTACAATTACAGTGGAAGGAACTGCATTTTTAGAGAAGTAGAGCATGGTTATATTGCAAGTATAAAATCAAGCTCAAACTTTAAAATATCATGCAAAAGGGAATATATTTGTTGACCATTGCACCATAAGCTACCAAATATCATGAATAAATATCATGGTAAAAGACACCTAGTAAGGGTTTATCAAGGATACGAAACTAGGTGCCCAGGCAGACATACTTGGGAAACAATGTTTTTTATTTTATTTTCAGTCCTTGAATCCTTGAAAGGTTCATATTTTGTTAATCTTGAGCATTTCTAACATTACATTTAATCTAATAATGTCAAACCAAGTGACAAGGACTTAAATAGTGCAGACTTGGTGCTAAATATCGACCTCAAAATACGTGGATAAATACCTGCATTGACACAACATTTCAGTATTACCACAGCTTCGCAGCGTTTTGTTTGTTTGTTTGTTGTTTAACGCCGCACTCAGCAATATTCCAGCTATATGACAGTGGTCTGTAAATAATCGAGTCTGGACCAGACAATCCAGTGAGTGAGTGAGTGAGTGAGTGAGTGAGTGAGTGAGTGAGTGAGTGAGTGAGTGAGTGAGTGAGTGAGTGAGTGAGTGAGTGAGTGAGTGAGTGAGTGAGTGAGTGAGCTAGTGAGCTGAATACTGCATAGAACAGTTATTTCAGTTACAACAGAGTGAGTGAGTGAACTGGGCTTAAATCTGCATGGAATACTTGGAACCGTATTTCAGTTACATCACAAAAATGTCAGCTTATTTAAGGGAGGACACCTGAAAGAGAGGCAGGTCTTACCGCTTAGGTGAAACTCACAAGCAAGGCTATGGTGCTGACAAACCATGGTCAAAGATCAAATCAAGATGAATCTGGGACTCAAACCCTTTACAAGAATAATCCTGATTAACCTACAACGTGGGACAGCAGCGACTTACCCCGTTTGATGATGCAGGCCCACAAGCTGGAACAGAATGTCCAACTCCAGAGGAGTGATCTGTGCAAAGTCTTGTGCTTGGTACATCAACTCCTCTGAAACAAGAGACTTGTATTATTGACATGTTCTCTCCTAGTGCAGCATGCTTAACAGGACAAATATTCAGGTTTCGGGAAAAAGTCTTTCCCAAAAAGGGGACACTAAACAAAACTGATAATTTGAAGATAGTGCCACAGAAATGTAGCTCACCTTACTTAACAATGCTTAACACAAGTGTCTGTCAACATTGATATTCAAATAATTTATGGGCATAAGTACTGAGGAAAAACTGACACCAAAATCTAAAAAAAAGGTAATGTTTTCATAAGGTGAAGCATACATATGCCAAAGTTCAGCTCCCTCTGTCTGTTAATTTCACAGGAAAAAGTCTACGAAGCCACATGTGCATCTTGCCCCGTAAAGATCCAGGTTAGAATAGGTCTTCAGCAACCCATGCTTGCCGTAAGTGGGGACAATGCTCGTTGTTAGATGTGAGTAACTGGATCGGGTGGTCAGGCTTGCTGACTTGGTTGATGCATGTCATCGTATCCCAATTGCGTAGAGTGATGCTCATGATGTCAATCACTGGATTGTCTGGTCCAGACTCGATTGGGAACAGACAGCTGACATATAGCTGGAGTATTGCTGATAGCCGTGTTAAACAACAAACAACCAAACCTATACATCTTAAGAGAATTTAAGAGCATGGTAAAAACATGAAAATTAATACAACAACAACTAAACAAATACCGAATTTCATTTTCATTGTTCAAATTAAGAACAAAAACCAACCACACACACACACCAAATTTCATTTTCTAGTGATTGCCATTGTGAGCAATGGTCTACACTGTAGGGGTACATACCACCAACTACCGTATTTTCTTGAGTATAGTGCGCACCCATGTATAATGCGCACCCCCCTCTAGCGGGTTCAATATTTTGGAAAAAAAGAAATTTGAATATTATGCGCAGAAAAAAATTACACCGTACCCTTTCAGCGAAGTCCGGCAAACGAACGGGTGATGAGAAACTTTGTCAGTACAAATTCGAAATTTGAGATAAAAAATCACCAGACATGTTTATTTACCGTTTAAATAGTATTTATTGTTCTGCTAGGCATTGTTTTATATCCAGGGAATAAGATTACCTTGTGTATTTTCTCGTAAACTCAGCCGGAAACAGCAATCAGCTGTACACACGTTTTCTTGGAATCGACCGGTGATTCGGTCAAGACACACCCTATGATTTAACTTTACAGGATTTTTAATGCAAGGATCGGCAAAAATTGTATCTGAAACTATTTTTTTTATCAGGAATAATATATTCCATTATTTTCTTAATTATATGCAGTCTTTACTAAACATATTTAAAATAATAATAACCCTAAGCGAAGCAGCTGATCGCTATTCCCGGGTATTATTTTTTACATGGACCAAGTCTGACCAGTCACCGTCAAGGCTCACGCGCACGGGATCGCGAGAATTTCATGTTGACATAGAATCGTCAAACAAAAACAAATCTGACTTTTAACGAGTCAAAGTATGTCATTTATGATATATGTATCCATTCTCTCTCAACTAAAGTTTGTTTCAAGGCGTCAATAGCGGTATTCTGACAGTGGTTGCTGTTAATAACGGTGAGTTGTGCGATCTTCCGATCGCTTCACACATGATTTCGCCGAAATTAATAAAAACAATTTTATAAGGAATTTTGAATAAAATTAATGAAATAAGTTACAAACATAAGTCGAGATATACAAAGAACACCTTTTATAGCCAGACAGTGTAATTACATGACTAATTTGCGTACTTCAGTATGGATTTGTTGACATGGTATTTCCGGTGTTACGTGCTCACAGTAATGTCTTTCCATGGGGGAAAAAAACATCCAAACTCATAATTCGTGTATAATGCGCACCCCCTTCTACACAGCTGTGTTTTTTGGAAAAAAAGTGCGCACTATACTCAAGAAAATACAGTAGTCATCGAGTCTCTGGCCATCCGATCCATCGGACATATTCTACCGGGGCCTACCTTTAGTGATCTCCTTGTTGGGGTCACGGCGTGTTGCAGCCAGGTAGATCCTCTTGACCAACTCCAGGTTGTTGAGCAGTGAAATGAAGGCGGTGAAATATGCATAGCTGATCTGCCGATGTTTCTCCCCCTGGAGCGCCACCTGTACAGACAGACATACAATCCGGGTATCAGTCCTAGGAGGAATGAGATAGATGCAGCGTTAGAAATTGGCACTGGTCCTATAGTCCTAACCAAACTGCCCAATAGTGTCATAAGGACATGTTGAAATTTGCAATTATTTAGGGGTTTGCTCTATGTTATCATTTTAGTGGACTAAAACAGTTAGTTTCTTACGGTGAGCTGACAAATTTCCCCCCACCTGGTCAGATATATTACATCTGTATGACATCCAAGTTATCGCACGTGAATGGAACAGACATATTTTACTCCAGCTTTAGAAATTGGCACCAGTCCTGAAGTCCTAGCCAATAGTTAAGGTATAAAAAGGACTAGTAGAAAAATTTGCCAGTTTTTAGGGTTTTTAATGTTATCATGATCAAGACTAGTAGACCAAAAATGTTAGTTTCTACTGCTGGAATCTATGGACCCCCTAAATTTAATCTTTAACATTTTGATAATGACAAGGACCTAAATCCTTCCACAATGAATCAAGCAACTTTGTCATTAAGTTGTTGAGCACGATGCGAAATATTGGGAAAGTGTTTGAGCTTGGAGACATGGACTATGAGTTGGCTGCGTTGATGTGCAAACAGTAACAACACTCTGGGTCGCCATTACTGGATACAATAATTGTGCTGACAAAAGAAATGTCGGGGTCCTGGCATGTGTTGGGAGACTGCTTGTTCCCCCTGCATATTTCATCTTTACATTATAGCAAAAACAAACTGCTAAATTTTTATCCACTATTGAAATGCACTACATTTTTAAGATCCAAATAGTGCCATACATCGATTTTCCCTTTTGTTGGGAACAATCTCATAGTTGAGACCTCGGCTGCTGTTTGTTGCCATAGCCATCTTAATCAAGGGAGGTAACACAGAATACTAGAATTATTGTTCGTCTGAGAGTAGCTGTACCAGGAAGATTTTATTTATTTAATTAGTTAAAAAACCCATAGAAATCCACTTACCGTATTCGACATAATAAGCGCCCAGGGCGCTCTCAAAATTAGAAATAGGGGGCTCTTATTAGAATATATATTTTTGAGTTCAAAGAGCGTAAATTTCGTGGTTTATGCTGAAATGTTTATAAACGACAGATATATTTTTCCAGAATTTAATTGCCCATAATTAAGGGTGCATATAACAAACGTATTATGCACGAATAAATAGCCTTGTGTACATTTATCAATCGGAAGGGGTGCTAATTAGGATTGTTCACTAGCCAGTATATTAACAAATATCGCCGTGGGCGCTTATTAGAGCGGGGCGCTTATTACGTCGAATACGGTATTTACGTATTTCCTCAAAATATTGAACCTATTTAGACCGTATCACCTTGTAGAAAGTTTGTCTTAACGGGGAGTGGAAACATTGTAAACCTAACATTCGAGAGAAAAAAAGTGACATCATCTTCTATTTTCATCAGTAATATCAAAGAGGTTTCAGTTTAGACAATGCACCGAGATATGATTGTATTTAGCATCATATTGTAGCATGATTTCAGTGTATTATGAAGGCCCTCAAAACATGGCGCCAAAGTTCTTGCCAAGATTGCATATTCTGCTGGACTTACAGTGACAATGTTGTCCCTCACGAAGGGCGTAAGTAGGTAACTCTTCAAAGAAATCATCACTTGCTCAAAGTCCTTGGCAGAGATGAAGCCACTGTTGCTGCGGTCAAACTTGCGGAAAGCCTGCCAGGCGTGCTCATCATGAAAGTCCTGAAACAATCAAGGTCTGTAATACGACTGTGTCGTCAACCTCGGAGGGAGCATGCTCAGGGATGTATCTAGGATTCCAAACTAAGTGGCTCTGGCTGACAAAACAGTTTTGTTCATATATCGTTCAAAGCTTTAAATGTAAAACTATGTATCTAAGATTCCAAACTAAGTGTTTGTTTGTTTATTGCAGCACTCAGCAATATTCCAGCTATATGACGGCGGTCTGTAAATAATTGAGCCTGGACCAGATAATCCAGTGATTGACAGTACAATCCGCGACGGTTGTCCGGAAACACGATATTTTCGGAGTATTTTTTTTCATCTTTGATTATATTTTTACGAGGAAGATGACTCTTTCCGAGACCCCTGTTTTTAAAAATGCGATTTTCAGCGTTTTTGCGGAGATTTCACATTGCTAGATCTAATTATTTATGTATTGAACAAATTGACCAGCCACCGAAGGGACTTCCCGCGCTACATGTTTTTCGATTGCGAAAATGTTATGTTGACATTTAATAGTCAAATTGACTCAAATATGACTTTAAATGAGTCAAGGTATGGCATTTATGATATGTGTATCCATTCTCTTGCAAAAAGATAATCTGACTGTGGTTGCTGTAAATAACGGTGAGTTGTGCGATCTACCGATCACTTCGCATACGATTTCGCCGAAATTATTATAATTATTGAATGAACTTTTTAATAAAATTGATAAGATATATTGCAAACATAAGTCCAGATAAACAATGAACACCTTTTTAGAACTAGATATTATAATAATAGGATTATATTGCGTACTTCAGTTCGGATTTGTTGACTGGTATTTCCGGTGTTACGTGATTGCGGTGATCAGCTGATAATTTTTTTGGAGATGGGGGGAAAACATCGTGTCATTGGAAAACTTGCGTTTATTATGAATGTAAGTAAATTTTGGGAGCCATGCTTTACCGCCCGCTATAACCGAGTTAGGGCTATTATTGACGGGCGCAATAGCGAGAGAACACTCACTGTATATGATGCTGAAAGCTCTGATCGAAAACAGGACAATATGTGTACTGTACATTCTCTCGATTGGCACTAAACTTTACCCTAAGAATTATCCCTACTATTTACTATTTAATCATGAAATCATGACACGTGTGACGCCTTACTTAGCATTTCTATCGGTCAAAAGTCCGACAACTTAAACAAACCATCGGTCAAATAGTAATTTTATCAGTCTATGACCGGTGACCGACGGCCATCTGAAGCCCTGAAAGTAACATCTCCGATATTTATCGATAATTGATTGGTATTTAGTTAGCGATTATCGATAGCTGTAATCTATATCAATAGCCAGCCCTAAAATTTTCTACCTGCGTACCTGACACCCTATTACCCAACCATCCCCAGGTCTCAAGAGTTGGGTACAAAATGTCAACTTGGAAATTGTTGAACTGGAGCCCTAGCAGAAACTATTTAGATACACATAAAACATATTATCTGAACATGCATACACTGAAGCTTTTTCTTTACTCAAACGCATACAAGTCAAAAAGAAATGCAAACATTAACGACTTGCAGTGTAACCCTGAGTTTTATTGTTGTTGCCATTAAACAAAATATCACGTGACTAACCACGGGTCCAGGTAGCCCATCTTCCTGAGGCAAGTGAGTTAACTGACTTTAAAAGTTCAGTTTCCAGCCTTGCCGAACTAGGCTGGTATTATGGAGTTATATGTTGGCTGGACCAATCAAGATCACTTAAAGAAATCGAAATCCGGTTCGTAACCTGTCGTGCAGATTTCGGTCGATTGCAGGATTTCCAAAGCATGTGCACCGCCAACACAGGGTCAACAGGTATTTTCCAAATCTTTTCATGTTTTTAATTAAGGTACTCACATGATTTGATGTACTTTGCGATGTAAGACGCTTTTTATCACAATAAAGATCTTCTTGACTGGGCGCCGCCATTTCATTTGAAGCAAGTGTATGTGTTACAAGAGGCGGAAGCTGATTGGGCAATAGGATAGGCAAAGAAAGGGACACAACTCGTAATAACCACTGGTGACGCTACGATTGATCTCAGAAATTCCAGCCTAGTTCGGCAAGGGTGGAAACTTGACTTTTATAGTCAAGAAGATGAGTTGATCTTGTTGAACAAGGTTCCTTCTCAGGACCCATCAGACCCGAGTAGCCGAGCTACCCATCCCAGCCCTAATATCTTGCTAAGGTACTTGGGACCTCTTCTGACATGGCAATCATGAGGTAGCAGGGACCTGATCACGCCTTACAGTTCCCACAGGGCGAATGGTTACACAAACTTCAAACAGATACGGAACACTAAAATTCAAGGCCTTTTTAAGGCTTTTCAAGGCTGCCAACTGTCATTTTCAAGGCTTTTTTAGTTTGGTTATTAACCTTAGTATGTCAACATTTTATAAAATCCAGCATACTATATTTCGTACAAATTCAAGACTTTTCAAGCTATTTTGGTGCTTTTCAAAGCTGACACTAAAAATAAGGGCTTTTAAAGAGGGACCGTACAATTCAAGGCTTTTTCAAGCCTGTTCAAACACTGTTATATTTAAGGAACTCACATGAATGAGCTGTGTAAACTCGGCATACGACACCTTCCTGGACCTGGTACTGCCGAAGTGCAGTTTGATGAAGTCACTGCTGAAGTTGAATGGCATATCCCGATGAAGGGTGGTATGCTTGATGATGTCCTCAAACTCATCTGGAAGTGAAACACACCGCCTTCACAAGCTGTCCCAATGCTCGTACCCCAGTGAGCAAGTCAATGCTATTTCATTAATTGTTTGCAAAGCTTCCTCAATTTAATGTTTTACTCAAACAGGTTTTAATCTTGCGTGGAGGACACAAACCATTACCAGGTCAGTGGAAGAATTCAAGGAAAGAAGACAAACTGATGCAGACTCAAAGCACTAGCGTTACACAACAGAGACTAAACTGACCTGATATCCCCCATATTAGAGAGTTACCTTTAGTTGCTTCTAACAGAAATGAGGTGAGGTAAGGTAAAATGTTTGTTTTGTTTGTTTGTTTGTTGTTTAATGCCGCACTCAGCAATATTCCAGCTATATGACGGTGGTCTGTAAATAATCGAGTCTGGACCAGACAATCCAGTGATTGACATCATGAGTATCGATCCACGCAATTGGAATCGATGACATGCATCATTCAAGTCAGCGAGCCTGACCACCCGATCCCATGAGGTGAAATGGGGTTCATTGTCATGCCCAAGATTATTGCACTTATATAGTGATGTGTGCGCGCACTAGTCGGGATTGATGCCGATTTATTACAGTTCCTTCCGCTCTCCTGGCAGACACTCTACCACTAGAATATGGAGGCGGTTCTATCAGCAATGACCGCCCCCATGACGTAGTGGATACAGCATTTGCCAGAAGAGCAGAAGGTCAATAGGTCGACCCCTCACCGCTTCATACCTAAATACATTATATGATGGTACGTGTTCTTACCCTGTTTGGCGTTCAGCATTATTAGAGCAATAAACTTGCATGTGACGTTAAACCCATTTCACCTCACCTAACAGAAATGAGCCACATTACACAAGGCCTGATGTTCCAGGCAGCCACTCACCACACGTTATGTAACCGTTCCCGTTCCTGTCGAAAATCTGGAAGGCCAGGGCATACATGGCGTCGGGGAGACACAGCAAGGCCTCGAAGGCCTGGAACTCGGTGAACGAAATGAGCCTGCAATCAGAAAACAGATACCGTAAATCTTGAAATAAACGCCAGCGTGAATTAAATGCGAAAGATGCGAGTGATAGCATTAATTAACTTCGCATTTATGTCTCCAAAATGACTAGCAACAATAAGACGGCTTCACTGAACACTTTGGATAGCGGAAATACCAAACTTGAATAAAAAAATGGTTTATTGAGCAGCAGTTGTAACAAGTATATAACAATGTCATTCAAAAAATAGGAATGTACTCACCCATCACGAGATGTGTCGACACTGCTGGCCAACAACTTGAGCGTGTAATCATTGTAGTCCTTCGAGTCAAGCACTTGGAGATAGTGATGGATCAGGTCAGAGTAGGTCATAAACTTCTCTCCATCACCATTCTCCTTCGTTGCATACTGAAACAAGGTGAGTGAGCGAGTGAGTGAGTGAGTGAGTGAGTGAGCTTCTTAGCTATCTTAAAGATTTCAGCATGAGAGAGGAAAGGGCAAAGTGACACTGGTCGTTGACGTTTTGTGACGATAACTAGACAGACATTGTGTGGTGCTGATACCTCTGGATCATATCAGACGTCTACTACTTTGGTGAAACACACAAGCAGAGTTATGGTGCTGACATATATAATCAAGAAGATTCTAGGATTCAAACCCACAATCATGGGTTCCTGCACACCTAAGGGATGCAACTCTGTATAGTGAATGACAGCACCTTATCATTACGATGCCATTTGTGTACCTGCACCTTCATAGTGAATGGCCGCAGCTGAGACAACAGGACAATGTGTGCCCGCACCTTTATAGTGAATGGCCGCACCTTTATAGTGAATGGCCGCACCTTAGACAACAGGGCCATTGTGGGAGCGCACTTTCATAGTGAATGGCCGCACCTTAGACAACAGGGCCACTGTGTGCTCGCCCCTTCATAGTGAATGGCCGCACCTGAGACAACAGGGCCATTGTGTGAGCGCACTTTCATAGTGAATGGCCGCACCTTAGACAACAGGACAATGTGTGCGCGCACTTTCATAGTGAATGGCCGCACCTTAGACAACAGGACAATATGTGCCCGCACCTTTATAGTGAATGGCCGCACCTTAGACAACAGGGCCACTGTGCGTCTTCATCGTCATGTGAATAACAAGACACATCAATGAATGTGATGACCACCACTGTCATGAAAATGTAGGAATCTAGGAATTTCCAATGAGAATATAAACAGGAATCAAGCATTTATTTTTCTCACCTTCAAGAATATTTCCTTGAGTTCCTCTGGCTTGGCTCGACTTTTGAAGATGTCATCCTGTAATGTGCAAAGAACATTTACTGTCTGGCATATAATATCACAAACTAACTCTCACAAACACAGAAGACCAAGGCGGACAAATATTTCACAGCAAATGGGTTCCTAAACAAAGTAAATATTTCAAAAGATTAACTTCTTTTTTGTTTTGACTGTTTGTTGCCGCACTCAGCAATAATATTCCAGCTATATGAACAGCAGCCTGTAAATAATCAATTTTCAATCATACAATCCAGTGATTCCACACCGGGAACGATGACCCCATCAACCAAGCTTGACTCTCTAAGCCACTATCGCCTCTTACGACTGGCATACCGTGTTGGGGACCAATTCTAACCTAGAATCCCAACAGAGTAGGGCACTTCTGACTTGACATCTAGTCAAGATTGTCATGCCTGACTAAACAGGACCAGCGTGCCCATATACTCTGATAACCATTTGTGAATTTGAAATCTGTGAACTGTGAACAGCAGTTTTCTATCCATGTAGAATAGTCAGGGTTGACCCATTCCACAGACAATCCTGTGTCCCATGAACGCAGGAAGTTTCACTCGCTGGAGTCCGAACACTTCCCAAGAACACATTGCAAAAGTAAAGTTTCCTATTTCTACATAAATAACTTGATAAATCGGTTCTAAATAGCAAAAAGTTAATAGACATAATAAAAATTTACAAACAGAATTCCCCAATCGCTCTAAGTCCTTTTGTATCACTCAAAAGACACCCTCTGTACACTACCTGACATAACCAGGCTTCAAAGTCGCGACTAAAATGGTTGCCAATGCGACTTAAATTTCCGTTTGTCTACTGTCTAAAATTCAGAGGTAGCCAAATGACTACCTTGAAAAATATCTTGTGGCGACTAAATTCTATTGCTACACAAAAATAAACGACAGCTGATCTGGGAAAACATGTCTGTTCATAAATGTACACGCAAATAATTCCTTCTTAAGTCAACAATGAACCAAAAAACATAAATATTAATGTAATTAGTACTTTATTTTAGTTGACAATGCTCATTGGATAAGCAAGGATATACCTATTTAATCTAGAAACATACATTGCATCATTATTTGAGTCAACAAAAATAGTAATAGTAATAGTTACAAAATCAAGTACAGTTTCCACTAATATACAATTCCAAGACTAGTGATATAACTTGAACATATAATAGTTATTTGATAAAACATAATTTCAAATGCTCTTGGCTACCTACAATATTGGCTTGACTTCTTGATTTTATGCTGGCTACCTGGAAAAAAATACTTGTAGCCATATGGCTACTTGGTAAAAATTTAAACTTTGAGGCCTGATAACTGCGAACAGTATTCCAGTTATAAAATGGATGAAATGCCTGAAGTGATGCAGTTCTACCTCGATTGTCACCTTCATGAAAGCTAGGGATGTCACGCTACAGGTGTCACACGATACAATACATATCTCGAAACAGACGCCACAATATTATATGTATCTCAATACTGCACATGCAACATTTTGTGCATAAAACCCAGTCATTAGACTGACAATAGACTCGCTAATAAAGGTAAAGAAGGACAACTGACGACTAAAACCCATCAACATGATTGACACTGAGTCAAGTCAACTATTCTGTAGGAGAAAATAATAAGTAACAAGCAATTCTACGTACTGTATTATTTGTTAACCAGCTGGTTTCGTATCCGAAAGACAACCAAGAAAGTTAAGAGGAATTAGAAAAAATACTTTATACTTGCTTACTGATATCGATGCAAGATGAACAAGGACAGTCGATATGGGTTAAGTGTGAATCAATGCCAAATTAAGTGTATTGGGTATCGTATCGTGCAAAGTTGATGGGCCAGTGAATTGCAACATTACTGTTGAAATCACAAGTTTGGGTATGATGCTAAAACTACAGTGCAACAAGAAGAATAAACCCATTTTCACCCAATTCTGGGTTCCATTCCACAAAGCATCCGTAGCTCAAGATTGTCGTAATTCAGTGAAGTATCAGAGTTACGATTGTCTCAGCGCTAAGATCACTTTGCTTCATTTAAGATAAAGGTATTAATAATGTTTCACTGTCATGCTATTTGATGAAAAATGTTCATTTGTATACATGTTGTGGTGAAGGTCTCTAAAGGACTAGTAATGTAGTACTCGGGGCATGTGGTCGGTGTTCTGAGTCCCAACAACAGCAACAGGACAAACAAACAACAGGGAATATACTAGGGCTGCAACGAATACACTATGAGGCGAAAGCGACTCGTATCACGAATATAGAGTAACCAATACGAATATTAATTCACGAACACAATAACAAGTCAGCAGTTGATGTATTATTTGTTAAATTCAGTGAAACAAAAACAACATAAATTATTTGACATGGTTTGTTAATCATTAACATATTATACATTTATATACTGCACTTATCCAGGTGCTAGTATCTGCTCAAATGCAACAATGACCAGTGACCACATTACTGTCAAATTAAATGTTATAAGAGTGTTGTCTTTCAAGAAATCTATGCATATAATATGTTCTTATGGATATTTTTAGATACAGGGTATGTAATTGAACATGACTGCATATTCATGAATTTTCGATTCTATTGGTCAAGAATAACGAATTCAATTCAGGAATGGATACGGTTCGATTCACCGAATACGTGAGTGAATCGTAACAGCCCTAGAATATACACAAACATCGGAAAGCCATAGAGCAACAAAATCATTATTTGACATTACAATGAACAACAAGGTATGAGGAATTACGGACTATCTGTCCCAGAGGAAGAATGTTGAAAGCCAAGAGTCACTGGCTAGGCCAAGCAGGGTTCCATTTTTCCGACCTCACACAACAATTATGTGTTCGAGGTGAAGGAATGAGGAAAGCCAAGAGTCACTGGCTAGGCCAGCAAGGGCCCATTTTTCCGACCTCACACAACGATTATGTGTTTGAGGTGAAGGAATGAGGAAAGCCAAGAGTCACTGGCTAGGCCAAGCAGGGATCCATTTTTCTGACATGAAATTGGGTTTAACGTTGTGTCCAAGATTATCATGATTATTGCCCTTATATAGCGATGACATGCACATATCTGTGTGGCTGCTTGTACTTGTCCGGACTGATGCCGATTCTATAGTGCTAGCCCACTGAGATACCATGCCGCAGTTTAACATGAATACCCCACTCAAGACAAGTATACAGACTCCGAGCCGACCAGTCCTTGTTTTAGCCCCTAAACTGCCAGCCCCAGTCAGGGTAACAAGATCTACCATCTTTTAACATCTTTTGGTATGACGTGGCCGGGGATCGAACCCCGGACCTTCTGATCCTCGAGCTGATACTCTACCAGGAGACCACAGTAGTGGTGTTCTATTTTCCTGACCTCACATGAGGTAGAAGCCTCATCATACGACAGGTCATATTAATAGATGCTTCCACTGACAACAGATTCACAATCATGGCCATATTGAGACTGAAACACACTTACCTGCATGCTAGACCACATATTGAAAGCTCACAACTGAAGAACTCTCCATGCGATTAGACTGACGTTTACACACAGTCATAGACTCATACTCATCGAAACTAATGCATGCAGCATGTGCATTGGGGTAATATATACAATTACAATGTATGTATGCAGTTCATGCAACATATGCATGTGGAATTAAGCCCAGGGCGATTAAAAGGTCATCATAATTCAACTGGTCCTTCCCATATTTGTTGAACCTGTAACGGTACTGTTTACATAATTTAGATGCATTATTCTAACCACATTAATTCCATCTGTTACCATTGCTTTATGATTAGAACCTTATACTGTCAATGCATCTCGTTTCATCATGATCAAACATCATGTCAGCGTGTCCACTTGGTTAAGTAAATCTTGTCTACTCTGTCCTCACCTTCAGCGTTCCCGCTGGCTTTTGAAACTGCCAGTCCAGTTCTATAAGCAGAATTACAGCGCTATATCTGAGATAGCGCTTTATTAAAGGGTGCAATAGCGAGGAACACTGTACTTAAGACTTGCGTTCCGTATCATAGCGTATCAATAAAGAGGCCCATGTGTATCGTATCGTGGGTCAAGTATTGCGATGCATCGGAATATCGGTGTATCGTTTCACCCTTAGTGTCCACCCTTGCTGAACTAGACTGGAATTCCGGAGTTACATTTGGCTAGACTAATGAGTCTAAGCATAGTCCAACAAAAATCAAGTAAAGAATTAGACGTCCGGTTTGTAAACAACATTGATTTCAACGTGTAGATTTTGATCAACTGCAGGATTTGCAAAGCATATGCACACTCAACTAGGCATTGACAGACTTTTTTCCAAATCTTTTCATGTTTTAAATCAAGGTGCTCAAATGGTTTGATGCACTTCTCAAGGTGAGGCCCGTTTAATTTCAATGTAGATGTTGATTATTGATCAGATCATCTTAACTGGGCACCGCCATTTTGTTAAGAGCAAATGCAGTGATATGCCAGGTAGAATCTTATTGGTCAATAGGAAGGACAAAGAAGGGACATAATTCGAAATAGCCACTGGCGGCACTACAATCAAACCCCGAAATTCCAGCGTAGTATGGCAAGGGTAGAAACTGGACTTTTGTCATCAGGTAACACCCTTGCCTCAGGAAGATGCTGTTGCCATGGAAGCTCTTCATCAGCAGGATGAGTACTTAAAATTTTAAAAAAACCATTAAGGAATGAATTGCAAGCATAAACTTCCAACGGAAAAATCAACAAATATCCACTGTATTATGTTGAACATTATTCCCTATCTTAAGAAAAGACTTACCGCATTGACTTTATTTTTATAAGGTATGAGCAATTACGCGTTGTTATATGCAACAGTTAGTTGCAATACATTTTGTCCAGCACAATTGGTATTAATTTATTCAATGCGGTTATTATAAAAAAAACCTTTTGCTTTATGCCGAGCGCCAGACAGGGTAACAACAAGTGCCATCTTTTAACGTCTTTCGGTCTCCGGGCAGACGCTCTACCACTATAG